GACCCTAGGATACCTGGTCTGACACATTGACAAGGTACAGAACAGCTTCAATGATGAGCACAAATTTTGCTCTTGATTATCTACTGTAAGCTTCCAGATACTGTCTACCTTTTCTTTTTTTTTTCTTTCTTTTTTTGTTTTGGCTAGACAATGGGGTTAAGTGACTTGCCCAGGGTCACACAGCTAGTCAGTGTTATGTGTCTGAGGCCGGATTTGAACTCAGGTCCTCCTGAATCCAGGGCCGGTGCTCTATCCACTGTGTCACCTAGCTGCCCCATACTGTCTACCTTTTCAATAGTTACATAAGATTATTATAACAGGAGTTTGTATAGTGAAGTGTTTCATCTTTCTTCATTCCCATTACTAAGGAACAAATAGTTTTCACTCTATATAGACCTGATATTATTGAATACTATCAGAGATGATTCAGGATACTTTAAGGTCTTTTGGCCTTACCTACTATAATTAACATAGCAGCTATCGTATGTATGTGTAGAGGTATTGATTTCCCAAACTCATAATATCCATGCCTAGGATACACTTTCCATGATTAGCCACCACAACTGTGGCCTAGAAGGGGGAATTCTACCTATTTCCATCTGAACAAAAGTAAGCCTTCCCTTGGCTTTTCTCCTCAAAACTGGGATACTTCTATGGACCTGTTGGGTGTCTCTAGATATAGGGCATATATGGGGTACAGGGTAACCTAGCTGCTAGCAGCTCCTCATATATGGACTTGTGGTGTGGCTATGGAATGTAGAGTTGGCTATCTGGTACTCATTCCTTTCTATTCCCTTCTACCTGCTCTGCTGGATGGGAACAGACATGAATGCTTCCTATGCCTTTCCTTTCTCTTCCCTGGAGGATAGTTTACAGTCTAAACTTTTCTCTGCTACCCTGTCTTCTGAATTCTTTTTCTCATCAGAAATTCAATCAACATCCTGTTACAAACAAGTATTTCCTTTTTTTTTTAAAGCCTAAGGACAATATAATAACTTTCAAGTCAACATAGCCACTTTTCTCTATTTTGTAATTTAGAAGAAATATTGGGAAAAAATACTGTAATTACAATAGTTTAGAGCATAGTGAAAAAAATTCCCAACATTCAGATAAACCGTTTTTGAACACTTTGCCATAATTTAAATTTTTTTTGGATTACATTTGTCCTCTTTTTGTTTGAAGCAAAAATAAAACAAAACAAAAAATAGGAACCAGGAAATATTTAGGGAAAAGAAGAAAGTGAAGTGTGTTACATTGTCTTACCGGAAAGCACGGATAGGGAAAATTGGGGAAAGAGCAGATCATTTTTGTAATTTTCCTCAGTCTTTGAAGACATGGGCATAACCGGTAGCTTCGACACAGGTTTTATCCTCTCAGTCTCTGCTATAGCTCAGTCCACCTTTCATTTTTCTACTGTGTTCTTTTGGTTTTTCTTTTCGCCTGTTGTTCCTGTGCCACTGATTTTTTTCTTGTTCAGCTTGTTGAGTTGTGGCCAAGGCTGGAGGTGTTAACTCTCTACTGCTGCTATTACTCAACTCTTGAAGTCCAAACTCCTTCTTCTCATCCTGTGCCCTATAAACTGAGTGAACACTTCTAAGAATGCCCAACTTCATCTCTAGTCTACCTTCTGGCTCAAAGATCTGGATAATTCCAAACTGCTCTTAAGGCCAAGAAGAAATGTTTGTCCCTCTGAACTACAATTCCAAATTGCCATTCAGTTCTCAAACTCCTTTTACACTTATATGTTCATTCCTCCTTCCCAAACCACTGTGACTCAGTCATATGACCTGGTCACTTTGCTGTCCTACAGTTAAAACAATAGCCTCAGCCTCCAAACCTGTCTTCACTCTAAGGAGGCATTCTATCCAGCAGTCTCTCAACTCTTGGTGCAGACTTAGGTGGTTCGGAATAACCATGTACTTTCTACAATCCCTAGAGGCTGACAGAGTTACTGTTTGCTTGAATAATCCTATTTTCCCAAGTAGCCACTAGATCAGACCCTATCTCCTGCTCACCACTTGATCTGCCCAAGCCTTTATGGTAGTCTAGTAGGGAAACCCTAGTGCTTAGGGATACAGAGCTAAAGCCTAGCGCCACTCAGGTGAAGCTACCCTCAAGAAGGGACCTAACTACACCCTAGTAAAGTTGGACATAAGTTGTGGGAAGAAGGAATCAGTGCAGTCTGTCAAACATATCTCTTTTAAGGACGTTATCCTGATTTCCTTGATGCTCCCCATTGGAGAATCAGCTACTGAGGTATATACATAACTTTCTGTTTTAGCCATATTAAAAAGGAAAAAGCAGACCCCACCTTGGGCCTCTAACTGATTCAACTGATGTAAGAGCAAATCCTCTAAAGCTTACCATGTGATCAAATTCTGACAGCAAAACAAAACAAAACAAAACAAAAACCCCCTCCACATTGCTCCTAGTAAGTCACACTATCATTAACAATTTTTCTGATGACACAGGTTGCTGTTTAAACTTCTGTAAAACCCCAAGTTCTTTGGTGGGAAAATCTATCCACTGTCTGACTCCCCAGGGGATGGTTAGTATTTCTGCTGGGATAGTAGTGAGATAGGTTCAAGGTTTAACCTCCTTAAGCACTCAGTGCTTAATCCTAGAGAGTCAAAAGACCTTCTCCTTATCCCTTGGAGAGGGCTCCTCATATATTTCTAGAAGGGCTACAGTCACAGCCTTCCAAAGTCCTATATCTGTCTGTCCAGTCACTTGAGGCACTCTTTCTTCTAATCACTCTTCCTCTACTTCAATAATTAAATGAACCACCAAGGCATCATTACTCACTTCTGCTGACTAAATCCAAATATTCTGGACTGGGGCTGGGAAAGGCTAGTATAGTGATTCAGGTTCAGAATTAGAATGCAGTGCAATACTGCCAGACAATAAAATACAATAAAAGCAACTACTTAAAATAAGGTTAAAAGAAGATACAATTCCTGATTGTTAATTCAAATAAAACATTATTCCATTCCATCTCTGCATTTACCACAACAACACCACTAGAACAGAAAGCCATCCTTGAAGAGCAGTGACAATTTCCATACATTTCTATATCACTAGTTCTTCATAGACATATCTTAGGTGTCAAGGAAGTCAAACCAATGATCCAAGCCTTATTCCCACAGATCCATCAAATCCTGAGGTTGGCTCTGACCTCTTAAAGGAAAACTAAGCCAGTCTACATAAAATGGTTTCAACTCCTATCATAACCAATGATGAATAAGCAAAGGACAAGGAGCAGCCAGTCAAGAAGGCAACGACCAGAGAGTAGTATCACAAAAACCCAGAGAGGAGAGCACAGTTAACAGGGTCAAATTCTAAAGGGAGGTCAGGATGGATGAGAACTGATGAAAGTCCACTAGATTTGGTAATTATGAGATCACTGGCAACTTTGAAAAGGGTAATTTCACTTCAGTGATGAGGCTGGAAGCCAGATTGCATAGGATTTAGATTTGACTAAGAGGAAAGGAAGTAGAGGTTCCCAAAATAGATAGCTTTCTCAAGGAGTTTAGCTACGAGGAAGAGAGACATAAGATGATAGCTAGTGGAGAAAGTAGTATCTTATAACAATTTTTAAGTGTGAGGGAGATCATGATATCTTTATAGGTAATAGAGAAGGAACCTATAGATAAGGAGAAATTAAAAATTGGAGATAGAAAGAAAATGATAGTGGTACCAATCTATCAGAGAAGCTAGGGGGATGGGAAGAAGGCTCAACATAGTAGAGGGTTGACATCACCCATGGGTGCAATCATCATCTCTATATAGATGATTCATGTATCTATTTAGCCACTTGCAAGAGGCAGCTGGGTGGTACAGTGGACAGAGCCTGAACCTGGAATCAGGAAAACCTGAGTTTAAATCTTCAGACATTTACTAGCTGTGTGACTTTGGGCAAGTCACTTAATCTTTGCTTGCCTTGGTTTCCTCCACCGTACAACGGGGACAATACCAGCACCTATCTTTCAAGGTTGCTTATTTCCTTCCACCCTTTCATCTTAGAACCCCTGCCTATTGGAAATTTCTTACTTGATGTTCCGTAGGTATCTCAAACTCAATATTTTTTCCCAAGCCCTTCCTTATCCGAAATTTACCTGTTTCTGGTGAAGTTGTCACTATCCTTCTAGTCAGGTTCATAACTGTAGCATTATCCTCATTCCACATAGACAGATTAGTTGCCAAATGTTGCCAAAAGTTAATTTTCCTTAAGTGCAGATATAACCATGTGATTCTACTGCTCAACTCCAATGATTTCCTTTTACTTCTAGGGTAAAATATAAATTTCTCTGTTTAGCAAAAACCCTTGAAGGTTACAAAAGACAGACTCTAAACTCTCTCCAACCTAACTGGATATTACCACCTCATCCAGCCAAATTACCTTTCTCTGTATTTCACAGGGTATCCATAATGAAGGTGGTCCTACTGTTAACTGCCCTGATCAGATTACATTTGAAACATTATGTTTTATTCTATATGCAACATTTTAGGAAGGATGTTGAAAAGGTTCAAAGACTAGACTAGGTTCAAAAGAGAGAGTGATCTAAATCACATATACTTGTCCATTATTGACTTATACTTCAGTGGGCCATGAGTCATTCTTTACACCTGGTGCTTCTAGAAAACAACATGAAAGAAAGTTAGATTACCATAACCACAAATTCTGATACTCTAAACTCTTTTGGGGTTGGCGTAATGGCATTAATAGCTATGTAAGTACTATATTCATGATTTGTATCTAGAAGTGTGCAAAATTAGTTTCTATTGCCTCCACCACTTTCCTTCAACTTTAGATAACTACTTCTGGGCAGGTTCACATCGGAGAGGGTGGCAGGGAAACATGAAGACCTCTTGATGTCTATGTTCAGTGATGATGTCTGGACTTATTTCTGTTTAATAGAGCTAAATTTATATTTTGATAATAAGCTCAAATGATTTTTAGAGAAATATTACAAGTAATTGATTTTGTTTTCCTTTAATAGGTTGGACAGGCAAATGATGAATCACTGACCAATCAACTCATAGATCATCTCATGGGTGAAAGTGATGGCATGCCCAAGGTATTAAAGTCATCACACCTGTGCAGTTTTCAGAAATATTCTGATGTGTCAAATGCTTTCACAAAAGTTTTCTGCAAATGAATTCTATTTAAGTCCCATTATCACCTAGTAAAAATTGTAAAACCTTCCTAATTCGTACTAATATGGGAGAGAGGTAAGAAGTAATTTAAGTTGGTGAAAAGTTTGAATTACAAAGTTTTAAAAGAAAAACAGTTTAATTAAAGCCTGAACATATTAAAAACTTGTCAGTTTTTAAATATTTAAGAATGTAAGTTGAATTTTGGAAAAGAAAGCAGCGTTTGGACATGAGGTCTTAATCTAGTTATCTTACTGATGTGGTATCAGAAACTAAGACTACAGCAAAGTATCTTGCCAATGTATCAGAAACTAAGACTGGAGGGACAGCTAGGTGGCGCAGTGGATAGAGCACCAGCCCTGAGGTCAGGAGGACCTGAGTTCAAATCTGACCTCAGACCAAACACTTGACACTTACTAGCTGTGTCTTAACTCCAATTGCCTAAAAAAAAAAAGAGAGAAACTAAGACTGGAGCAAAGAGAGGGTCACAGTAAAGTTGGTACTAGTAGTGATGTGTTTGTGAATAGTCAAGTTGACTTGGGGTATAGTTTCATATGATCAAGGTGCTGTGCAAGGTATTAGAGTATCTAAACACATAGATATAATAACATTGTTAAGACAAAAGAGGTAATATTACATTATACATATCCATCATAGAATTAGTATATTAAAAATTAGTATATTAAATATCATTTTGTCCCAGAACACTGTGCATATAGAAGACTTTCCACAAATTTTTTTTTCATAAATGGATGAAATTGACTAGTATTTTGAGACAGAAAGCATATAATGATTAATAGTATAAGGGTTTATAATCTCTGTCCAAATTTATTTCTATATCCAAAGTATCACAAGTTTTCAAGTCAAATTAATGAAGTTTCTTCCCATGTAATTACTTCTTTTTCTTTATATATTGATATGTTTATTGGAAAAGGGTATATGTACTATTTCAATTCCAAGGAGTCATAAGATTTAGAGCTGGAAGGATCCTCAGAAGTCATTTAATCCCATCCCTTTAATTTCTATCTAAGAAGCCCAGAAAGGTCAAATGAGTTGTGGTAGAACTGGGCCTCAAACCTAAATCCTCTGACTCTAAATACAGTACTCTTTCTATTGCACTATGCTACCTCCATACAATATAGTTTCATATTTTTCTTTAGTAGTTTTAAAATTCAGACAACTACCAGATTATAAGAAATTGAATTACTAGATGTGGTACACTATTCTGGTAGGGATTAGTTAAATTTTTTTTACAGTTGATATAAAATCAACTGGATACTCTCTCTTAAATGTTTTAAATTATTGAGCATGATTTAACTTTGTCTGTACAGTAGTAATTTTACATTTGTAATGGGATTCAATATAATATATTGTATGTAATTATAGTTGTACTAAACTGGTGGGAACTGGGAAAGACCTCCTGCATAACATGGAATTTGGACTGAGATATGAAGGCATATAGGGAAACTAAGTGGTAATGGTGAGGAAGGAGAACATTCCAGACTTGGAGGACAGCAAAGAGATGATATATGGCGTGTCTTATGAGGATAAGTATGATAAGTATGTTCCTCCAGTGCAGAATCAGTATATTAAATATCTTTTTGGACTGAGATTCTTAAAATCTAGCCAAGGCTCAGGTTCTTATAATCTAGCTAATAGCTCACAAATGTTCAGATTCCTTGAGTCTGGCCAATATGGTGGATCTTTAATAAACCTTGTCTTTGGATAAAAGAAAGCTAGAGTTGAATTCATGTGGGCAGGACCAGTGTGTTGTGATTTTGGGGTCCCAGCACCCCTAAACCTCAACATGTGGTTCCCTGACGAGCAAAAACTGGCTAATCTCAAGCTCTTCTCCAGCCAAGACTGGAAGGTACCTAAGCCTCTCCCCTCCCCCAGTCCCTTTCTTGCCCTGTAGTTGGTGGATTTCCAAGCACCTAGGAAGGCTTGTCTTGGAAGTGCTTTTTGGGCCTGACCTCTCAGGTCGCATTAGGTCAGATAGCTATGAGGCTGTCTTGAACTCAGCCTGACACTCTCAGGCTCTGGGTCCAGTGGTTTTTTTGGAGGTCATGGACCTGGGCACACCTTCAGACTCCCTATTGGAAGCATAGGCCCAGTCTTCTCAATTCTCTCGGCCCTAGGGAATTGGGAAAACTTCAGGTATTTTGGGGGGCTTTTGGTTTTTTTTGTTTGTTTCCTGAGGCTTATTTCCAAATCATCCTTTAAGGAAGGAACAAAAGGTTAATCCTCTTCAATTCCCCAAAATTCATCTTTGGGCTGTCTTTTACAAAATTGGAAAAGAATTTAGTTTCTCTAAAGAACTTAAAAAGAAAAGGCTGGTGGTTTTTGTTGTTGTTGTTGTTGTTTTCCATACCATTTGGCCTCAGCATCACCTGGAAAATTATGAGGCATGGCCCATTTTTGGGACATTACAGCAAAATATTCTCTCACAGTTAGAACTATACTGTCGCAGAGAAAGAAAATGGGTGGAGATTTCCTACATAATGGCTGTTGTTGAACTTTCTTGTGATCTCATTCTCAGAAAAGATTGTAAGGTGCTCGAAGCTAGAGCTGCTCCACAAATGGGGAATAGGGATCAACTAGACTTTTTAGATGACCTTCTTATGGCCCCCAGGACTACAGCACCCCCCTCTTCCCCAGCCTCTGATAGCACCACCTCCCCAGCTCCTGTCTCCAGTTCATTCTCCCTAGGCCCCTCTTTCTGTTCCCTGTTCTCCCCCAACCCCTCCTTCGGCTCCCCATTCTCCCTTGACTCCCCCTGCTGCTCCCCATTCTCCCTTGTTCCCTCCTGCCACTCCCCATTCTCCTCTGGCCCTCCCTGTTTCCCATGCCCCGCCCCTTGCCCACTCCCTCTTTCCCTTGGTTTTCCTTCCCTTTTCCTCTAGTCCACCCCTCCTTCATTTCCTGCCTTGTTTACCTTCCACATCTCCTACCCTGCATTTTTTCCCCAGGCCCTTATTCTGAGCAGACCTTTACTCAGGCTTCTGACAAGAGCCTTGATTCAGTACTTCCTTCCCTGGCCCTTCCGCCTGAGGCAAGGACCACCCAGGCCCTGGCCTTAGCCACAGCCTTGGTGGTATCTCTTCCCCTCACCCCTTCTCTTCCTCTGGTGCCAGCTAATCTTTCCGCTTGACAGCTGGATTCCCCAGCCTTGCAGTTCAGTTCAGCTGGCACTCCCCAGTCCTGTGCTTACAAGAAGTGGGACTTCCTATCTCCCTTCTCCACAATCTCCCAAAGTTCCTTGTTACCCTTAATTTAATCCATCTCCCTATTGTCTGATATATTTGTTGGAAAAAGTAAGCCAGTGTAGCTGGATTTTGGAGTATGTGAAGGTGCATAATATTTAAGAAGACTGGAAAGGTAAGGAGGGGCCAGGGTATGAAGAGCTTTAAATGGCAAACAGAGGACTTCATATTTGATCCTGGAGGTAATATAGAGTTGCTGCTGCTTATGAAGAGCAGGAGTGGCATATATGCACCTATGGTTTAGGAAAATCACTTTGATAGCTAAGTGGTGAATGTATTGGAGTGGGGAGAGACTTGAAGAAGGGAGAGCAATTATTCTAATAGTTTACACAAGAGATGATGAGGACTTCAAACTAAGTTGGTGGCTGTGTGAATGAAGAAAAAACAGGTATGTGCTGGAGACAGTTCAAATAGGCTTGAAAGAGCAGAGTGTTAAATTTCCAGTGTTATCATTTACACCTCATATCAACAAATACTACAAATCAGGGCTCAGTTGTTTGGTTGATTGTCTAGACTTAAGAAAGTGATGCAAAAAATGTTTGCAATGTAGATTAAATTTAAAAGTTAAGTAGGGCACACTTCCCACCTCTTCTTCCCCTGCAAAGAATAGGTTCTTTTAATTTTTTTTTTTTTGCTGAGGCAACCAGGATTAAGTGACTTGCGCCGGGTCACACAGCTAGGAAGTATCAAGTATTTGAGGCCAGATTTGAACTCAGGTCCTCCTGACTCCAAGGCCAGATCTCTATCTACTACACCACCTAGCTGCCCCAGGAATAAGATCTTAAACATTTACCAGCACACCTCTAAGAGAGGGGGACATATGTGTAATGATTCCAAGGTTGCGAATCCGAGTGATGTGAGGGTAGTAGTGGCCTGAACAGTAGTAGGAAAGTTGGGGTAAGGGGAGGGTTTGGAAGGAAAACAAGTTTTCTTTTGGACTTAACTGAGTTTCAGATGTGTAAAGGACTTCCAGTTTGAGATGTCCAAAAGAAAAGTTGGTAGTGTGAGACTGGAGCTCAGGTATGAGTTTAGGGATGGCTATGCAAATTTGGGAATCATTTGCATAGAAATAATAGGAGCTCATGAAATCACCAAGCATAATAGTACATATAGAGGAAAAAGAGGCTTCAAGAAAGGAGCCTTGTGGAAGATCGGTGACAGTTAGTGGGCATTACATGGAAGATGACTGAAGAGTGTCCAGACGGGAGAAGCAGCAGTGCTACAAAAATCTAGAAGTGAGATGGTGTCTCATATATAAATACAAATATATATACACACATGTATATTTATGTAATATGAGATTTCTAAAAGACATCCAGTTTGATATGTGCAAGAGGCAATTGGTGATATGAGATTGGAGTTCAGGAGAGAGCTCAGGGCTAGATATATAGATCTGAGAACCAATCTTTGCATAGAGATGATATTTGAATCATGGGAGCTGATCCACCAATCAAGATAGTATAAAGGGAGAAGAGACGAGGGCCCAGGGCAGGAGAAAAAAAGCCATCAAAGAAGACTGAGGAAATTGATGGGTAGAAAGAGAAGCATGAGAAAAGAGTGTCACAAAAATCTAGAGAGAAGAGAATATCCAGAAGAGAATGATCAGCAGTGATAAAGGCTGAAGAGAGATCAAGAAAAATGAATAAAAAAGACTTTTGGATTTGGCAGTTAGATCATTGATAACTTTGGAGAAAACAGTTTCAATTAAATGATTAAGGCAGAAGCCAGATTGCAGAGGGTTTAGAATTTAGTGAGAGGAGAGGAAGTGGAAACCTCTAGAGAACATAGCTTTCTCAAGGAATTCAGTGATGAAAGAGAGGAGAGAGATAGGGTGATAGCTAGCTGAGACCATCAAATCAAGTGAACATTTTTTGAGGATCAGGTAAAACATAGATGTGTTTATAGGCAGCATGGAAGCAACCAATAAATATGGGGACATTGAAGATTGGTGAGAGTAGTGGTGATAGGGCCATTTGCTGTAGATGAAGTGCTGGAATAGAGATGATAGTGGGGGCAATCTACTGGATTAGATGGGAGAGGATGGGATCAAATATGCACATGTAGAGTGGTTGGCCTTCTTAAGAAGTACCCTGTCTTCCTCTGAGCATGGAATTAAGGGGGAAGATGTCTGACTAATGTGAGATGGAGAGGAAAGGAGAAGAGGGATCTTTCAATGAATAACTTTTTTTTTTGGTGATGTATGGGGTTGAGCAGGAATCCTCAGTACTGAGGAGAGGATGCTATTGTGCATTTGAGGAAAGATGCTAGGGAGATTAGGTAACATAAATTTGTAGGGGACCCATTCAGCTGTTTCAACTCCAGTATCATGTGAATAAGCACAAAGGAGTTGGATGGTAGGTGACATTTAGTATTGAGGTTGGACAAGGCATTATTTGCACTAAGAAAAGGCAGGGAATTCCAGATTATAGGATCATGGAGAGATGAATTATTTCCCCAAAGGGTGAAGGTGGTGAAGGGATGAGAAGGTAGCCAGTGGAAGAGTAATGGCCTGGTAAAGAACTGAAGGGTGAGAGAGATTTTAGGTAATTGTGGAGATGAAGAACAGGTTTAGGGATCATAAGGCAGAAGTAAAGATGTAATGATAAAATGTTATCAGAAGAGGGAATTTCAGAGTTTATGATCATGGAAGTGGAACAGTTGTGAGTGATGGCCAGATCAAGTGTGTGACGGTCTCTTTGATTAAGTAGACTAGGAAATAAAGTCATGGAACTTGGACAGTTTAAAGAACTGGGAATTTAGGGTATTTGAAGGATTATCAATATGTATGTTGAAGTCCCCTAGTATTATTAGGATGGAGAGGAATGTGTATCAGGGCATAGTTCCAAATTGTTCTCCAGAATGGTTGGACCAGTTCACAACTCCACCAACAGTACATTAGTGTCCCTATTTTTCTACATCCTTCCAGGATCTGTCCTTTTCCTTTTGCTGTCATGTTAGCCAATCTGATAGGCATAAGGTGGTACCACACAGTTGTTTTAATTTGCATTTCTCTAATCAATAGTGATTTAGAACATTTTTTCATATGACTATAGGTAGTTTTAATTTCTTCTGAAAACTACCTGTTCATATCCTTTAACTGTTTATCAATTGGGGAATGGGCCTTATTTTTATAAATTAGATTCAGTTTCCTATATATTTGAGAAGTGAGACCTTTATCAGAGAAACATGCTGTACATTCTCCCCCCTATTCCCCAGTTTCCACCTTTCCTTCTTATTTTGGCTGCATTGGTTTTGTTTGTGCAAAATCTTTTTAATTTAGTGTAATGAAAATTATCCATTTTACTTCTCATGACCCTCTCTCTCCCTTGTGTGGTCATAAACTCTTTTTTTATCTATAAATCTGACAGGTGAAATTTTTAATACTCCCCTAATTTGCTTATGATAGTGCCCTTTATGTCTAAATCCTGTACCTACATTTGTCTTATTTTGGTATATGCTTTCATATGTTGGTCTACACCTAGTTTTTGCCAAACTGTTTTTGAATTTTTGCAGCAATTTTTGTCAAATCTTGGCCCCCCAAAGTTTGAATTATTAGGTTTATCAAATAACAGATCACTATGGTCATTTACTACTGTGTATTGTGTACCTAACCTATCCCACTGATCCACCATTCTGTTTCGTAATACAAGATTGTTTTGATGATTACCACTTTGTATATAGTTTGAAATCTGATTCTAAGCCACCTTCCTTTACTTTTTTTTCATTGATTCCCTTGATGTTCTTGATCTTTTCTTCTTCCATGTGAATTTTGTTATTTTTTCCAGATTTATGGAAATTTGACTGGTATGGCACTGGCTAAATAAATTAATATAGATAGAATTGTCATTTTTAACATAATGACATGGTTTACCCATGAACAATGAATATTTCTCCAGTTATTTAGATTGGTCTTTATTTGTGTGAAAAGTTTTTGTAATTGTGTTCATATAGTTTCTGGGTTTGTCTTGGCAGATAGATTCCCAAGTATTTTATGTTATCTGCAGGTATCTTAAATGGAATTTCTCTTTCTAGCTCTTCTTGCTGGGTTTTGTTGCTAGTATATAGAAATGCTGATGTTTTATGTGGGTTTATTTTATAACCTATAACTTTGCTGAAGCTGTTAATTTGAGTTTTTTAGTTGATTTTGTAAGGTTCTCTAAGTATACTCTCATATCATCTGCAAAGAGTGATAGTTTGGTTTCCTCATTGCCCATTCTAATTCCTTTAATTTTTTTCTTCTCTAATTACTATAGCTAGTATTTCTAGTACAATATTGAATAATAGTGGTGATAATGGGCATCCTTGCTTCACCCCTGATTTTATTAGGAAGTCTTCTAGCTTATCCCCATTACAGGTAATGCTTGTCTTGGTTTTAGATAAATGTTACTTATGAAAGGCTCCATTTCTTCCTTTTCTTTCTAGTGTTTTTATAGCAATGGGTATTATATTTGTCACAAGATTTTTTTCATCTATTGAAATAATCATGTGATTTTTGTTATTTTTCATGATTGATACAGTCAATTATGCTTATAATTTTCCTAATATTGAGCCAGCCCTGCATTCCTGGTATAACTCCCACAAAGTCAGAGTGTATGATCTTTGTGATATATTGCTGTAATCTCCTTGCTAGTATTTTATTTAAAAATTTTGTGTCAATTAATTCCAATACTAGGATATATAGTATTGGACTTAATTGTTACTTAACTGTTTGGTAAGATGCACTTGTAAATGCATCTGGTCCCAGGGATTTTTTCTTAGGGAGTACATTTATGGCTTGTTCAATTTATTTTTCTAAGATAAGGTTATTTAAGTACAGTTAGTCCTTCCACATCGTGATTTTCTACCATCTTGGCTTGCCCAGGAAGCTAAGTTTCAATGAGTGCCAGAAGATGGAAGGAGTGAGAAAGGAAAGTTAGTTAATTTTGGATCAGGTATTCCAGAGGGTACAATGGAGGGGTATGTGTGTGCGTGTGTGTGTGTGTGTGTGTATATGTGTGTGTGTGAAAATCTGGAATAGGATGTTGGGGAAGTTTGATTTAAGGTAGATAGGAGAAAGGGGGGAGCACTTGCGAATGAGGAAGTGGGCTTAGATGTGCATTCTAGGATCATTGAGACAAAATGAGTATAAGTGGGATGGGACAATACTAATCTTGGAAAAATAAGTTAAAAAAAAAGAGTATTAGTGAGTGAAGATTGCCCACTCATGATTAGATTCGTAAGTTCCCAAACACATGGCAAGTGGTGATATATTCTTCCTGTGGTAAAAGTCATCCAGATTTCAAGAAGAACACACCCAGGCTATCCTGAACATATATTATAGGATCTGAATTTCTGGGATAAACAGTAGGATGGGGGAGATGGTATTAGTGAGGAGATGAGTGAGGACATTGTCAAGACTAATACTAGGGCTACAACACCACTACTCCTGCTACTATAGATCCTGTCCTTAGCCAAGCCTGGGGAGGCAGAGACTGTACTTCTGTTCTGGGGACAGCTAGTGGAAAGAGAATAGAAAAAAGAAGGGAAGAGAAGTCCTCCTAATCAGGAAGCAGTTGGGGCTGGGAATGTGGTTACCAGTTATCCTGGTAGTTGAGAGGTAGAATAACTGTGGCTATCATTTATTCTACGTAGCTGTTTGTAGGTGAAGGACATATTTGGGTCTGGGACTGCATATCCCTACAGTTTGAATATAGGCTTTGTAACTGGTATTGAATGTGTTCTGTACCATATGTTATCTGCCTTATGGCATATATGAAAATATATATCATCGCCAATATAATGCCAATGTATTTTATTATATGTTTAATTTAATATAAAAATATGTTTATGCCTATACTTATATATTGTATAAATATATAATTTTAATATATAATAATTAATATAACATTAATGTAATTAAATATATATTTAATTTAAGGATGCTAAATATCTCTTCCGTCTGTACATGGCACTGAAACAATACAGAGAAGCTGCCCAGACTGCCATAATAATTGCCAGAGAGGAGCAATCTGCTGGTAGGTACCCTTATTAACATTGTACCCAATTCTTCCTTTTTGACTATGCCTGAAGGCAAAGTTTTTTTTTTCTCTCTCTCTGCTACTCCGTTCAAATCATAGTTTATGTCTAATTTAAACACATTATAGCAAGAGGTTATATTGGAATACTTCCCGAGGATCTAGGAAGTGTGCTTTGGCTTCTTGGAAGGATCTCATGTGATCTGACCCCTTTATAAAAAGTGTACATGACCAGAGGTTCCTTGTTACTAGGAGTCACAAGAGGTCACGGCCTTTTGAAATCACAAAGTTGTAGGCTCTACATCTATCTCTAATTTCCATGAATGAAGGAACCACTGAGCTCTGCCAAGAGGATTGGGTAAGCTCAGAAGTGACTGAAGCTGATAGGGTATTTCAAATACCTCTGGAGCCAGTCAAAGAGGCTTCTCTTCATGTTGTGGCTAGCTGTCTAGAACCAATTACAGAATATCTACATAAGTTCTATAGACTATTCAAAGCACTTCCATTTTACATTCTCTTAACACTCCCAAAAGTAGAAGGTATGTTCCCCAGTATCTCCACATGGGGAGATTAGTGGCACTTTCTGCCTATGCCATAGCCCCACTGCATACAGCTGGAGTCATCTCATCTCACTCATTTGCCTTCCCTCTTTTCATTCAACCCAGACCCAAGTCTTCGTTTTCTTATCTTTTAATTTCTCCTTTTATACTCTGTCCTCTGTAGATTGTTTTTCTTGTGCCTATTCCTTCCCTAATTCTACAATCTCTCTTAGATTATATCTCTTTCCTCTTTCTGTATCTTCGTATTTCCTTATTGCTCTTAATGTAAGGTTAATTTTAACAGTAAGGGTCATGAAATGCCTGCTGTTCCCTACCATCCCTACCTCCATGTTTATATATTCTTCTTCTGATGTGCTTCAGTTACATGAAATAATCAGTTCTTTCCTCTTCCTCATGTCTTCCCTAGTATATTTCTTTTTCCCTTCCTTCTCTTTACTCCCTTAAATCAAACAAAACAGTCCAAAATTCTGCCCAGGCACTGAGTTGGTCTTCTTTGCTTCTTTAAGGATAGTAGGGTTTTGATGAAACAATGATCTCTTTTCCACCTATTGGGACATAAATATTTTATCATCTTTTAGCCCCTTCAGTGAGTTTAACTATACTTACCATTCTAGATTTCTCTTGTTGCTTATGTTTGCATTTCGAGATTCTACCTACCTTTTCTTTTCTTAACAGGAATAATTGAATTCTATTTGTTCTAATAAAAGTATGTTTTTCTCCTATAGAATTATACTGGAATTTGCAGGATAAGTAATTTTTGTTTGGAAGCTTTTTTTTTCCTTTCAGCTCTTGATGTATCATATTCTAAGATTTCCTTTCATTCATTGTGTTGTTGCTAAGTCTTGTGTCATTCTGTGATCCTGAACATAGTCCTTTGTATTTGATATTTTTCTTTCTGTGTGTTTACAGTATTTTTTCTTTAAATTAAAAATTCTGTTTTTTGGCTATGATATTTCTGGGAGCATCCATTTAGGGTTTCTTTCAGGGTGTTACTGGTGGATTCTTTCTAATTTTCACTTTTCCCTTTGGCTCTGTTATAGGGACTTTTAACCTTTTTTGTGTCATAAACCTTGTGGCAGGCTGGTGAAGCCTGTGGACTCCTCAGAATGCACAAAAGCACAAACCATTTAATATTTAATTTACTTTAACAATAACATTTAACGGCACATAAAACATTTAAATGAATAAAGCAAGATAAATAGGAACCAATTATATTAATGTACAGGCATCAAAATATTAGTCTGCCCATAGGGACTCTGCCATTCTCTGACTGGAGAAGGAAGCTTTTCTTCCCAGAATCTCCACTTAAGGAGGAAACCCAGGCCATTCATCTTCTCATTTCCCACTTTGCTACACTCCTCTGTACTTCTCCATCATGTCCCCATTCCAGATTGCTTTTTCCCTCCCCGCCCCCTTTAACTCTTTCTTTTTTGTGTGTTATCTTCCCCATTAGTTTGTAAACCTCTTGAGAGAGGAACTGTCTTTTGACTGTCTTTGTATCCTTAATGATTAGCATAATACCCGGCACTTAGTGGGTGCTTAATAAATGTTTATTGACTAAATAATCCCATGGTATTATTATTAAGTCATGGGCAAAAAAACAAAGAAACCATAAGATCAGAGGAGCATAGCTTATATTTTCTTTACTCCTGCCTGTTTAAGGCAAAAGATGAAGAAGAGAAAACTGATTTGGGGAAAGAATATGTAACTAATAAGGTGTTTTCTAATAATAGGATTTGGATTTCTGGACCATCATCTAGAAACAGGAATGACAGTCTCTTGACTACAGATGGAGTATACCTAATAAATGCTGACAAAAATGTGTTTATTGAATATCTTGAAAACTGAACAAAAAAGGCTTAAATAAAAAAGCATGGATGGAGAGAGAAAACTATGCATATCTGCTGTTCTTGATATCATAGTGGCAGCTGCAATTAAGGAAGAATAGAAATGATATATTTGAAGTTCATAGTTCACAAAATGCAAGAAAGGAACTAGTAGTAAAACCAGTGACTTCAAATGTCTATATACAAATGCCCAAAATTTAGGCAGCAAGTAAAAAGGATTAGAAGACTAACCAAGGAGATAAATTTAACCTTATAAATATTACTGATTTGGTGAGTTAAAACCCAAGGCTGGAATATAGGTTTAGATAGGCAGACCTTATTGAAAAGAAACCGAGTAGGTAAAAGGGAGTGATGTAGGATAATACTGTATATTTATATGAGGAAACCCAGGAACCAGACAGGGCAACCATGGTAGAAAATATTTGGGTGAAGATTAATTTGACTGTAGGGAAAGGTGAGGGAGATAGAAGTGATTTTCTCTATAGAGACTACAGACTACCTGGGCAGAAAGAGGAAATAAGTGAGTTCGGGAAACAGACCACAAGCCTAGCACAAAGGCAAGATGTATTAGTGATTTTGAGTTATATAAATAACTGCTAGAATTCTCTTCCTGTCAAAAGCAGTGTAGCTAATGGTTTCTGGACTTAAAGATAATTCCATCCTTTAAAAGGTAGAGATCTGATTCTCATTAACAAGGAAGAACTGGTTGCTGGGATAGAAATTATGGAGACATTGGGAGGAATTAACCATTCCTTCCTAGAATTTGTGAAAGAAGACAGGTAAGCTAGCCTGTCTGATATGGTCCATAATTTTGGGAAAGTATATTTCAGATGGTTCAAAGAAAGGATATGTAGGATCCCATGGACTATTTGTTTGTGTTTGTTCTTCGTTCTCAAAGAGAACCATGACATCAGGGAGATGATGATGTGACTCACAATTGATTTTGATTTGAATGAGGGAGGGCTGTGTAAGGTCACCAGCCTCACTTTCTCCTCCAGAGCCATCTGGGTCCAGTGGCCAGATATTCATCAGGATGACTGGAGATGGCCCAGGACGCAATGGGCGACCCTGGCCCTTTTAAGCTAAGGTCTTTTCAGGTTCTCACTTTGAGTGAAGTAACGCCCATTCAGTGAACAGACCTCTTCAAGAAGTGAGCCAAGAGATGGCCCCTTTAATAAAAAAAAATCAAACTGGGAGGGGGAAGACCCTCATGGTTGCTGGCCAAAAAGAGAAGCAGTTATTATTTGTGTTTGTCCTTCATTCTTGAAGAGGGCCATGACATCAGGGAGATGATGACATGACTTGTAATTGACTTTGATTTGAGTGAGGGAGGGCCGTGCAAGGTCACTAGCCTCAATTTCTTCTCCAGAACCATTTGGGTCCCACACACTAAAGTTGTACAGGAGAAGCCCAGGAAGGATAGGAAACTTTGAAGAATGAAATTATGAAGACAGAAAGGGAAACAATTCTTTTATTTATTTATTTATTTATTTATTTATTTTGATTTATCAACAATCACTTCCATAAGATTTTGAGTTAAATTTTTCTCCCTCCCTCCCCAAGATGCCATGCAATTGGATATAGGCTATAAGTATAGATTCCTATTAAACATATTTTCACATTAGTGATGTTGTAAGGAAGAATTAGAACCAATAGGAGGAATCACCAGAAAGAGGAAACAAAAAAAACAGAAGAAAAAAATAGAAAATAGTATGCTTTGATCTGCATTCAAACTCCATAGTTCTTTCTTTGGATATGGATAGCATTTTCCATCATGAGACTTTTGGAGATGTCTTTGATCCTTGCATTGCTGAGAAGAGCTAAGTCTATCAAAGTTAATCACTGCACAACGTGGCTGTTGCTGTGTACAACATTCTTCTGGTTCTGTTCACTTCACTTAGCATCAGTCCATACAAGTCTTTCCAGGTTGAAGTCAGCTTGCTCATCATTTCTTATAGCACAATAGTATTCCATCACATTCATATACCACAACTTGTTCAGCCATTCCCCAATTGATGGGCATCCCCTCAATTTCCAATTCTTTGCCACCAGAAAAAGAGCTGCTATAAATATTTTTGTACTTGTGATTCCTTTTCCCATTTGTATGGTCTCTTTGGGATACAGTCCTAAAAGTGCTATTGCTGGGTCAAAGGGTAGCCCTTTGGGCATAGTTCCAAATTGCTCTCCAGAATGGTTGGATCATTTCATAACTCTACCAACAATGCGTTAGTGTTCCAGTTTTCCCACATCTTCTCCAACATTTATCATTTACCTGTTTTGCCATGTTGTCCAATCTGATGGTACCTCAGAGTTGTTTTGATATGCATTTTTCTAATCAATAGTGATTTAGAACATTTTTTCATATGACTATAGATGGTTTTAATTTCTTCATCTGAGAACTACCTGTTCATATCCTTTGACCATTTATCAATTGGGGAATGACTTGTATTCTTATAAATTTGACTTAATTCTCTATATGTTTTAGAAATGAAGCCTTATCAGAGATACTGGTTATAAAGATTCTTTCCCAGTTTTTTGTTTCCCTCCTAATCTTGGTTGCATTGGCTTTGTTTGTGCAAAAACTCTTCAATTTATTGTAATTAGAATTACCATTTCGCATTTCATAATGGGGAAACAATTCTTATTAGTAGGGAAAACAAGAATTATGTGAATGTGGATGCACTGGGAATTCACTGAATAACTTAGATTTTTAAAAGATGCACGCAATGTGTAGCGTTAAGGGCAAATAACAAAGAATAAATGTAGAGCATGACATGGTCCTTTAAAAATGGTGTCAGGACTACTAAAGCTCAGAATGAGCTGAGGCTGGTGAGGGAAGCGAAGGACAACCAAAAAGGGTTTGAGTTTCTTGGAGCAGCTAATATTGGGGGAAGGAGGAGGTTCAAAGAAGGGACAGAACTACTGCTCATGGTGGAGGGAACAATGAGGATAGATAGTAGAGAGAAGGTAAAGCTGCTCAATTCTTATTTTGTTTCTGTCTTTATTGCCCAATAAAGTGATTTTTTTATACTGGAAATGGCTAAAATAGCTAACAGGAAGTTGATATCCAAGTAATAAAATATCCAGTTACTTTTATGAGTTCTGGTCACTTCTTCAGATGAACTATATCCCTAATTAATGAGAAACCTAGCAGATATGCTTGCTTATCATGTTATCCACATATGAAATATCAATCAGTGAATCATTCAACCAATATTTATTAACTGCCTACTATTTGCAAAGCACTGTACTAAATGTTAAGCATGCAAACACAAAGACTGAAACAATCTTTGCTCAAAAGGATCCAGTATTCTGTGTGAGTAGGAGAAAGGATACATGCAAAAGATATTAGAGGTAGAAATCGTAGAGGTTCAAATTGCAAGATTTGCTAACTGATTGGCTATGTGGGGTGAAGGAGACTGAGGATTCAAAGATAATAATACCACAGTTAAAAACCTGGGAGACTTGAAGGATGGTGGTGCCTTCAACAGAAATAGGGGAAGTTTGGAAGGAGAATTTTTTTGGAGAAAGATACCAAATTCTGCTTTGGACATGTTGAATTTAAATTTGGAAAATGAGAAATGTACTATAGTACAGGAGAAGAGCAAATTTATCAGTTTTCCTGATTTTTTAAAAATAAAAACAGTTTGTAATCTATATCAACAGAAGAAGCACAGTGTAGTGGATAGAGAGCTGTCTTTAAAGTCACAAAAACTTGAGTTCTGGTCCCTCTGACATATACTGACTCTGAGACTTTGAGAAAATTGCTTAACCTTTTAGCACCCAAGGCTATTAAGTTTCAGAAGTGGTGTTGATCTGCATTGGCAGAGAAAATTCCTTACCAGGTGCTCCCTACACAAATTAAATCATAGACTCAATAAGTAAAACAAAACAAAATTTAAAAATAAAACCAGTGAGTTTGAATTTGATTCCTTGGAAATTCTAAAATAGATTGTTAATGAGATGGTCAGAGAACACATAGAAAAGGGAGCTATGATTATAACAAGCCAGCATAGCTTCATTGAGAATAGCTGGTCACACCAGACTAACCTTATTTCCTTTTTATGGGCAGAGTTACAAAACTAATAGAGCAGGGAAAGACTAGAGATGTAATTTATCTAGATTTTAGCATGGGGAAATTTGAGTTTTTGATGGCTAAAATACATCACCAAAAATACTCAGTCGTTGTGTGTTTATGTATGTATATTATATGTGTATATATATATATATATATATATATATATATATATATATATATAATCAATAAAAGGATCTGCTTAAGTTGGTGGAAATCTATTCTTCTGACTCAAATTCATTTGTAGCTCAGTCAAAAAGGATCTTGGAAGTCTGCAAGCTGTTGAACCCTAAATTAGATATCTATAATAGAAGGCTTTGATCTCTGGTCAGAAATGAAAAATTTAATCTTAGCCCAGAGGCACTGCCTGACTTTTATTTGCTGAATGTGGTGGCTTTGAGTAAAGAGCTGTCCTTATCAGAGAGGGATTCTAGAGACCATTCTTCTAGCTCTCAAGAGTTCAGACTTTTCTTGCCAGCCTTGGTGTGGCACCATGGGGTGCTAGTATTCTCATTACCATGCCTGCTAACTATTATACTATATCTTACCTTCTTTTCTCAGCTAAGCTCCTTGAAAAAAGTCATTTATACTGTGTTTCAGCTTTCTATCTTTTCCCTGTCTTCTAAACCCTTTATAATATTGCATCTGACATCATCATTCAACTGAAACTGTTCTCTCCAAAGTTATTAATGGTCTCTTAGTTGCCAAACATAATGGCTTTTTCTCAGTCCTTATTATTTTTGATCTGTCTGAAGCTTTTGACAATATTGATCATCCTCTTCTCCTGAACAATCTTTCACCTTTGGGTTTTCACGACATTGCTCTATCTTGATTCTTCTACCTGTTTAACCATTCCTTCTCAGTCTTCTTTGCTGGTTTGTCATCAATGTCATGCCTACTAACTGTGAGTGTCCCTTAAGACTCAGTCCTGAGCCCCATTCTATTTACGCTCTGTCAGTGCTCTGATTAGCTCCCATGTGTTTAGTTATCTCTGTGCAGATGATTCCTAGATCTATATATATATCAATCACTGATCCCCTTAGTATTCTTCATCAGCTGATGTTGTGTAGGTATCTCAAACATGTCTACAATAAAATTAATTCCTGCCCCCCCCATCCCAATTGTCCTTTCTTCCAAATCTCCCTGTTACTGTTGAGGGTACCACCAACCTCCTAGTAACCCAAGTTTGCAACCTCAGTGTCACCTTTGATTCCTCACTTTCATTCACCCCATATATTCAATCACTTGCTAAATCTTGTTTGTTCTACTTTCATAACATCTTGCATATACTTCTTCTTTTCTCTACTCAGTCAGCTGTGAACCTAGTACAGGGGCTCATCATTTCTGGTCTAGATTATTGCAATAATATTCTAATTGCTTTCTCAGATTCTAAAGTGATTTTCCTAAAGTATAGATCTGCCCACGTGACCCCTTTCCATTGAAAAAACCCCCAATGGCTGCCTGTTACCTCTAGAATAAAATATGAAGTCCTCTCTTTGGCATTTAAAGCTCTTCACAACCTGGTTCCTTTCTGTCTTGTCTTCTTATACTCTATACCCCTCCATACTCTGTTTCTATCTTGTATGTGCCTATCTATTTACATATTATCTCCTCCATTAGAATGTATGCAAGAGGTCTTTAGTTGAGTGCCTCAGAGACTTGTGATTGGCCCTAAGCTGTTTAACATTTCTTCATTGAATTGGATGAAGGTTCATGTGGCAGGCCTATCAAATCTGCAGATGCTAGAAGCTGGGAGAGAGAGAGCTAACACACTCGATAAACAGAGTCAGGGTCCAAAAAGATCTTGATAGGTTAGAGCACTAGGCCAAATCTAATAAGATGAAATTTAATAGGAAAAAAGTGAAGTTTTACACTGGGGTTCAAATAAGTTAAATTCTTAAGTATAAAATGGGGAAGGTATGGTTAAATAAGTTAGTCTTTAAAAAAATTTTTTTTTTCAGCAGGCTCAGAGTTTATGGTGAAATGTGGCAGTCCAAAAAGCTAATTTGATATTGGGCTACATTAAGAGAGGTGTAGCTTCCAGTAATAATACTTTTGCTGCCCTCTGCCCTGGTCAGACCACATATGGAGAATTGTATTCAGTTGTGGGCACCACAGTTTAGAGAGCATACTGACAAGCTGGAGAGGATGACCAGGATGGTAAAGAGCTTCAAGTCCATACTATTTGAGTGTTGGCTGAAGGCACTAGAGATGTTTAGCATAGTGAAGAGAAGATGCAGAAAAGAAGGGGATATGATAGATATGTTTAAGTATTTAAAGGGCATTCATTTGGGAAAAAAACCTGATTAGACATTCTACTTGATCCCACAGGGACCAGAAGCAATGGGTGGAAGTAGCAAAGAGAAGAATTTAGGCTTGATTTTAGAAAAAAGTTTCCTAACAATTACAGCTGTCAAAAAGTGGAATGGGCTGTTTTGGGAGATGATGGGATCCTTCCCTTGCTGGAGATACCCAAGCAGAATCTAGGTGACCACTAGATAGGGTATAGTGGGATCCCTTTCTGATCTAGGTTGGACTATGAAACCTCTGAGATCCTTTCCAATTCTAAACTCTGTGATTCACTTTGCTTTAAATTTTTTTTGTGCGTGAAAATTTATATGGGAATTAATTATTAAATCTTAATGAGTGAGACATACTTGTTGTACTAAATATCTAATAATAAAGAGATGAGATTTTATTGGTTACATGTTTTATAAAGGACACCTCATTTTTATTCAAAATTGAAGAAATTTTGTGTTTAGCTGCTGAGATTATACCAATTTTCTTGAATGTTAACTAAGTCCTAGATTTGAACTTTATATTTTGCTATTTTGTGACTTTTAATAATTACATATAGTGCAAACTATTTTCTAGGAAATTATCGAAATGCCCATGATGTTCTCTTCAGTATGTATGCAGAACTGAGAAACCAGAAAATTAAAATCCCATCTGAGATGGCCACAAACCTTATGATTCTGCACAGCTATATTTTAGTGAAGGTAATTTAGTTGGAAATTTGTGACTTCCACATTTTAATAAAACATAAACATTAAATGTCTTAGATATCCATAACTGAATTCTATTTGTATATTTATTCTCAGCCATTAAAAATTTTGTTGAACATGTTGCATAATGTATATACCTTAAACATATTTTATGCTCCCTTTATAGACTTGTCATTTATTATATTTATTATCATATTGAAAACAACAGGGTCCATATATTTTTATATTCTCCACTGCCTCCACAGTGCAAACTAATATATACTCCAGTGAATGTATCCTGGGGTCCTCTCAACATGGCACCCTGAACCTGGGTTATACCTAGGTTTATTGTCCTCCTTGATACTCTATTCTAAACCATAGCTCATAAGCCCCATTTGATGTTTCCCTTTTACCAGAGCAAAGGTATTTAATGAGACAGAATATAGTGTAACTGACAAGGAAAACATCCACTCCAAGCATAGAGGGGCAAACAATCTCAAAGATTCCCATGTCTCTAATGGGAGAAATAGCTCCTGTTACCCTGACAACTCACATTAGCAGGGTTGTATCTTGGATGGAACAACCTTCTGCCTCCAGATCTGTCACTCATTGCTTCCCTGAGGAGCTGGCAGTGACAACTTCTGGGTTGTTTTGCTGCTACTACCATCTGCAGTTTCTCCATTCAGTCGTTGTTGCTGGGCAACTTCTTTTTCATGGAATGTTTTCAGCCTTTTTGTGAGCCAGTTTGGAGCCTCAGGGCTATTTCAGCTCTAAAGTCAGATGATAATAGCATCATAGGGTGAGAGCTCAAAGGAACTTTACAGGGCATCTAGTCCAATAGCTTCATTTTACATGTGAGGAAACTGAGGCTCAGGGAAGTTAAGTGACTTCTTCAAAGTAATATAGTTAATATCAAAAGTGAGATTTCAACCCACAGCCTCTCACTCCAAGGGCAATGTTTTTTTTTTTTCTACACCTGTAACTTGGCAGCAAAGAGTTACTTGGCAAGTTTTTTTTTTTAATTACTTCTCTCTCTGTGGGAATTATCCCACTTTTTTTTTTTATGTTTGTGTTGAGGTGGTATAAATTCCTTTCAGTTTCCATCATGCTTTTGGTTAATATTACAGGTCCATACAGATTATCCTGAAACTTAGCTACACTGAAGGGATGAAGTAGAACTAATGACCTTTGTCCTATATGCCTGAAACTATGGTTCCAATCACTGTCCCTATAAAAATCCATTATTATCATCAATTAATACTTATTTAATATCCACTGAAAACATATACTAAATGGAAATGTAACTTTTTAGAAAGACAAAAAATAAAAAAAAACATGCAGAGTTTTATTATCTGTGACATTGATTACTAAGCAGACTCATATGTGATACACCATCTCCAAAGTAGCTTTCTCTGAGCGTATATAATGAGTAGGTAGTGGATTTTCTCTGGGTAACAATAAAGAGATGAGACTGATAGTTCTCATCTGACTCTGACAGTGTCCTCAAGGGAATTTTAATCACTTAGAACCCTGTTAGTCAATGGTCTCAGAAGTTGCAGTTTAACTAGATGACATCTAAGATCCCTTCCCACGCTAAATCTATGATTCTATGGACAGTTTATTCTTTGTTCAAATAAGTGAGAAGGGAAAGGGGTTCAGTGGAATTTTTTCTTTTCCATGGTTCAGATTCATATATTGTAAAATGTGGAGGCAAAATTAAAAAGAATATGAAACACCTCCATTTAAAAATTGAGAAATTTTCTCTATTATGTCATGTATTTTTTGAAACATGGAAAACTTAATGCATAAAAAAATGGCTCCAGTGTGCTCCAGAGAGAACCCAAATCCTCAAAGTAAGCCCAATAACATATGAACCTCAGAACAATCCTTGTTCTTGATATTTCTTTTTTTACTCTTCAGTAACTTTATTTTTAAGAAATTTTATTAATTTATTTTGATTTATCAACAATCACTTCCATAAGCTTTTGAGTTTAAAATTTTTCTCCTTCTCCCCCTCCCTCCACAAGATGGTGCACAATCTGATATAGGCTATACATATACATTCCTATTAAACATATTTTCACATTAGTGATGTTGTAAGGAAGAATTAGAACCAATAGGAGGAACCACCAGAAAGAGGAAACAAAACACAATAGAAGAGAAAAATAGCAAATAGTATGCTTCGATCTGCATTCAAACTCCATAGGTCTTTCTTTGGATGTGGATAGCATTTTCCATCATGAGACTTTTGGATATGTCTTCGGTCCTTACATTGCTGAGAAGGGCTAAGTCTATCAAAGTTAGTCATTGAACAACGTGGCTATTGCTGTGTACAACATTCTCCTGGTTCTGCTCACTTCATTCAGCATCAGTTCATACAAGTCTTTCCAGGTTTTTCTAAAGTCAGAGTTGTGTTGATTTGCGTTTCTTTGATCAATAGTGATTTAGGGCATTTTTTCATATGACTACAGATGGCTTTAATTTCTTCATCTGAGAACTGCTTTTTCATATCCTTTGACCACTTATCAACTGGGGAATGACTTGTATTCTTATAAATTTGACTTAATTCTCTGTGTATTTTAGAAATTAGGCCTTTATCAGACACACTGGTTGTAAACATTCTTTCTCAGTTTTCTCCTTCCCTCCTAATCTTGGTTGCATTGCCTTTGTTTTTGCAAAATCTTTTCAATTTGATGTAAACAAAATTATCCATTTTGCATTTCATAATGTCCTCTATATCCTGTTTAGTCATAAATTCCTCAGTTCTCCATAAATCTGACAGGTAAACTATTCCTTACTCTTCCAGTTTGCTTATAGTATCAGCCTTTTACATTTAAATCATGAACTCATTTTGACTTTATTTTGGTATGTGGTATAAGATTTTGGTCTATACCTAGTTTCTGCCATACTTTTTTCCAGTTATCCTAGCAGTTTTCGTCAAAGAGTGAGTTCTTATCCCAGAAGCTGGAATCTTTAGGTTTATCAAATAGTAGACTAGTATAGTCATTGACTGCTGTGTCTTGCATACCTAACCTATTCCACTGATCCACTACTCTGTTTCTTAGCCAATACCAAGTGGTTTGATGATTGCTGCTTTATAATATAATTTAAGATCTGGGATGGCTAGGCCACCTTCTCCTGCATTTCTTTTCATTAGTTCCCTTGATATTCTGGACCTTTTGTTATTCCCAATGAGTATTGCTATTATTTTTTCTAGCTCTGTAAAATAACTTTTTGGTAGTTTGATTGGTATGTCACTGAATAAGTAAGTTAGCTTAGGTAGAATTGTCATTTTTATTATAGTAGCTTGGCCTACCCATGAGCAACTGATATTTTTCCAATTATTTAGATCTGACTTTATTTGTGTGAAAAGTGTTTTGTAATTGTATTGATATAGTTCCTGGGCTTGTTTCAGTAGGTAGACTCCTAAGTATTTTATAATGTCTAAAGTAACTTGATATTTCTTTAGCTTAGGAACGGGCTAAGGACAATTCAGTTCCATTCCATACATAGCCTATCACCTGAAGAGCACTCTGTAAGGTGCTAGGAAAGATAAAAAGATAATTAAGACACAGTCCTCACCCTTATTAAACTTACAATTTAGTAGGATAGATACAAAAACTATAAAATATGACATAGAACATAATTTTGCCTAAGGGAAATACAAATTGCTTTCTTAAGAAGTAAGGGTCATTTTATGCTGGACAGGATAGGGAAGGCTTTATAGAGGAGGTAACATTTGATGTAATTCTTGATGGGGGATAGAGTTTCCATAGGTGGAAGTGGGTGTTTGGAGACAGTGGAATGAGTTTCCAAGCACAGGGAAGAACATAAGCAAAAGGCATCCATAGGAGATGTAGCAGATCTTCAGACTAACTTGGACACTGACCTACACTTACAGCCAGCTGTGAACCTCTAATGATGAAGTCAGGTTAAAATGGAATTATCTGTTAGTTGGCTTATGGAGCAGGATTATATTGTTTGATTTTTTCTCCTGACCCTTTAATTGTATTTATGACTCTTCTGTGAACCCTTTAATTTAAGTTTCTTTTATCTTATTCAATTTGGGGAACTGGGAACTCAAATGATACTTTAGAAAGGGCCTGAATAGTTCTTATAATATATTGGTAGAGTTACCCCATAGTTGATTATAAAATCTTTAATATATGAGAGTCTCTGTACAAAATCATGGCTGATTTAATTGTGCTGCAAGTATTTCTGATTATCTACTCCTGAATAATGTTTGCTTGAAACTATATTCCCAAAACTGTTGCCACTCTGTATTCTTATAAATAGAATTTAAAATTTTTTTTCGGTATATATTTGTTTTAAGCACTAATCTGTGACAATAAAAACTTTTAAAATGTATTTCATATATATGGTAACAGTCTAATAGACTAGAATATTTCATTTATTTCAGATTCATGTTAAACGTGGAGATCACTTAAAGGGAGCACGTATGCTTATTCGTGTCTCCAATAACATCAGCAAATTCCCATCACGTAAGTGCTAAATACATTGTCTTCTTTACCAGATGTCATTCTGTGTGTGTGTGTGTTGTGAAAATTATCTAATCATTCCTTTGCTTAACATTTGGTTGCCTTTTACATATAATACATTATTCTGAGCACTAGGTATGGGGTGGGGAAAGGGAAGATACAGAATAAGGCTCCTACCCTCGAGGAGTTTAAAATCTCATAGGGAAGTAAAACATGTGCAATATAAAGTCATATGAATGATATATATAAAGCACCAATTTTCAGAGGAAGAAGAGATCACTCACTACAGGGATGTTCAGGGAAGGTTTTAAGGAACAGGGAACATGTGAATTGACCCTTGAATGTTAAGGAGAATTTCAGTAAGAAGAAATCCTAAGAGAGGCCATTGTAGGCAAAGAGAATAACATGAATAAAATTGGTAAAATTAGAAAATATGGATCTAAGTGTATGACATTTTCTGAGAATAGCAGTAAATCATCGTGGATGGAATGTAAAGTTTGTATGAAAATAATGAGTAATGAAGTTGGAAAAGGTATATGGGGGTCAAGTTATAGAACTCTTTAAGTACCAGGTTAAAGTGATTGGACTTTGTTTGGGAAGTAATGGAAGAATTTTTAGCAGAGATATGAAAAATCAAAAAGTGCTTTAGAAAGACAAATCTGAAAAAAAAGAAAAACTAATCTGTCTTTGGGCATGCATGATTAATTGGAAAGGGGAAAAAAGGATATTGAATTAGTCCAGGAATGGGGTGATAAGAGCCTGAACTAAAGTGGTAATTACAGAAATGGAAGAGATAGATGTGAGAGTGATTATATTTTCCTATCTCCATTCTCTTCCATCTACCCCTTTCCCCCGTTCATCCATCTGTCATGCTGATGCTAGGCTAATCTTTATTATGTGCATATTTGATAGTATTAAATTTTTTTAGCACCCTTACCCATCTCCCCACCTTGCCCACATCAATAGCGTATATAATACTATCCTAAAATTCAAGATCCTTTACAATTTGCCTCCTTTCCAACTTTTTAATCTTTATCCACACTATTCCCTTTCACATAGCTACACTTCAGTCAAATTGTGTGATTCACTGTTCCATGAACAACCATCCCAGGTTTTCATGATTCAGTGATTTTGCTCATGCTATTCTCTAAGCCTTTTCTTACCATCTCCACCTCTTGAAATATTACCTGTCTTTCAATTCTTTTGTTAGATTATCTGATTCTTTACCTTTATTGTTGTTTTCAGTCATTCAGTTGTGTCTGACTCTTTGTGACCCCATTGACCATAATACTCCAGGCTTTTTATCCTCCACTATCTCTCAAAGTCTGTCCAAGTTGATGTTTGTTGTTTCCATGGTGTTATCTATCCATCTCATCCTCTCCATTTCTTTTTCCTTTTGCCTTCAATCTTTCCCAACATCAAGATCTTTCCAAATGAGTCCTGTCTTCTCATTATGTGGCCAAAGTATTTAAGCTTCATCTTCAATATTTGACCTTCTAGTGAGTAGCCTGAATTAATTTCTTTAATTTGATTTCTTTGCTGTCCAAGAGACTCTTATTAAGTCTTCTCCAGCTTTTCTTATAGTCCAACTCTTTCAGCCACACATTGCTATTGGAAAATAATAGCTTTGACTGTATGGATTTTTACTGGCAAGGTGATATCTCTGCTTTTTAATATCCTGTCCAGATTTGCTTTCCTTTCAAGGAGTGTTTTTTAATTTCATGGATGCAGTCGTCATCTGCACTGATCTTTGAGCCCCAAAATATAAAATTTGACACTGCTTCTATTTCTTTTCCCTTATTTGTCAGGAAGTGATGGGACCAGTTGCCAAGATCTTAGTTTTTTTCTGTTAAGCTTCAAGCCAGCTTTTACACTCTCCTCTTTCACCCTTGTCAAGAGTGGTGTCATCTGCATAGCTAGGGTTGTTGATATTTCTCCCAGCATCTTTAATTCTGCTTTTGATTCATCCAGCTTGGCATTTCACATTATGTACTCTGCACTCAAATTAAATAAATAATGTGACAATATACAGCCTTGTTGTACTCCTTTCCCAATATTAAACTGATTGTTGGTTCTATGTACAGTTTTAATTGTTGCTTGTTGGGCCACATTCAGGTTCCTTAGGAGATGAGTAAGATGATCTGGTACTACCATCTCTTTGAGGACTTGCCACATTTTGTTGTGATCCACATAGCCATCAAAAATAGCTTCTCTCTCTTTGGAACTCTTAATTGTTTATATTTTTATGCAAATATGTTTTAGTATGCTATTTGTATATTTATCTTAACTCCCCTAGGAGAGTCTCACATACTAGCTCTGTGACTCTGGGCAAGTCTCTTAATCCTATGGTGCCATAGTTACGTCATTTATAAAATGAGAGCATTGGACTCCATGGCCTTTAAAGTCTCTTCTAGCTTTAATCAATGATCCTAAGACTAAACTCCTTAAGGGTGGGGATTTCATTGTCTTGATTTGTTTATATATCTTTCTCAGAAGCCAGCATAATGATTTATACATTGTAGGCACTTAATAAATGTTTATTGAATTTGAATTTGTTAGAAATTTAACCACAATATTTGGCAGCTGGTTAAATATTGCAATAAAGGAGAGGATGGAGTTAATGATGTCAAATCCAGCTTTATAGTCTTGGTCTAGGAGAATGGTAGTATGATTGACAGATGGTGAATTTAGTTTTAAATCTATTACCTTTAGGGTGCTAGCGGGACATTTGTAAAGTCTTTGAGCAGGGACCATGGAGTACTTAGCACAATGCTTTGCATATAGTAAGCACTAAATACATTTTGTTGAACAAATGAATAAATCAGCAAAATGTTTATTAGACAACTGGAAGTGTGGGTTAGTAGGTTAGTGTATAGAGAAGTAAGAATAGATCAATTAGGATGTATTATTGTGAAATATCCTCAGTGGTCATGCCCTGTAACTGTAGCTATCCCTCAGGGTTCTGTTCTGGACCCTCACCTCTCATCTTGTCTTGTCTTGTCTTTCTTTCTCTTCTCCTCTTCTCTTCTCCCTTTCTACTACTTCCTTTGGTGATCTCTTCAGCTCCCATGGATTTACTTGCCTTCTCTATGTTGATGATTCTCAGATCTACCTTTCCTGCTCTGATCTCTGCTGACCTCCAATCTCCCTTCTTCAGCTGCCTATCAGACATCTCGAACTAGATGGGCAAGATACATCTTAAACTCAATAAGCCCAAAATGAACTCATTATCTTTCCTCCTAAGCCATTCTCCTCTCCTACCTTCCCCTGTACTGTAGCGGGCAAAACCACTCTCTCAGTCTCACAGCCTAGGAGTCACCCTGGATTCCTCACTATTTCTCATCCTGCCCCATACATCTTCCAAATCTGCACACCCTTTCTATCCTCTGACACAGCCACCACTCTAATACAGGACCTCATCACCTCATGCCTAGATTTCTGCAATAACCTACTAGTGGATCAGTTTGCCTCCAAGTCTCTCCCCACTCCAATTCATCCTTCATTCAGTTACTAAAGTAATTTTCTTAAAGCACAGGTGTGACCATGTCACCTCACTAGCCCCCTTAGTAAACTCTAATGGCTCTCTATTGCTTCCAGGGTCAAATAAAAAATTCTCTGTTTAGCATTCAAAGCCCTTCATAACCTAGCCGTTTCCCCCCCTCCCCCCACTACCTTTCCAGTTTCCTTATACCTTGCTCCCTGTGACAAATTCTTGGATTCAGTGACACTGGCCTCCTGGCTGTTCCATGAACAAGACATTCCATCTCTTGGCTCTGGGCATTTTCTATGCCTATCCCCCATGTCTGGAATGCTCTCCCTCCACTCCAGTGTGGAGACCTTCCTTCCTTCCTCGACTAAAATCCCACCTTCTACAGGAAGCCTTCCCGAACATCTCTTAATTCCAATGCCTTTCCTCTGTTAATTAATGTTGTATATAGCTTGCTTTGTATATATTTGTTTGCCTGTTGTCTCCCTCTATTAGTTTGTAAGCTCCTTAAAGGCAGAAACTGTCTTTTGCCTCTTTTTTTATCCCCAGGACATAGTGCCTGGCATATAGTAGGCACTTAATAAATGTTTATGCTAAAGAAGATCTCAAAAAGAGTTTTGAATTGTCATTATAATAAGAACATTGACATGCTTTATAGCTTACTTCATTTAGCTAAGCCTAGTTCTTTTATGTTATGAAATAAGGAAACATAATTTTTCTGTTTTCTACTTGCATTGCAGATATTGTGCCAATTCTGACTTCAACAGTAATTGAATGTCATCGAGCAGGTTTGAAAAATTCAGCTTTCAGTTTTGCAGCCATGTTGATGAGGCCTGAATATCGCAATAAAATAGATATAAAATATAGAAAAAAGATAGAAGCAATGGTCAGGTGAATTTTTTCTGGTTAATCTTCATTATATATGTATTGTAGATAGAGATATATAAATATATGCACTAGAAGAGAGAGGTATAGTATGATAGAAAGAATATTGTAGTGGAGAGTCAAGAAATCTGGGTTTTCAATCTTGGCTCTTGGCTTTTTTTTTTTGGCCATTAATTAGGTGATCTTAACCAAGGCTTTAGTTTTCTCATTTGAAAAATGACAGGATTGGACTCAATGATTTCTAGTACCTCTTCTGGCTCTAAAATTCTAGGATATTTTTGTTGAGTTTAGTGGCTACAGGGTAAATTGCCTCTAGCAGTCACTGTGAGCTAGTTTTTGGGGTAAGGGTTGAATTGTTTTTGACATACTGAATTAGTATTAGAATTGTATATGAGATATCCAGCTCAAAATGTCTAGCAGACAAGTAAATGTATGGAGCCAGAGTTTGGAAGATAGATGAAATCTGGAAGTAAAATTTGGGCATCTTAGAGGTGACAATTATAGTCTTGGGAATGAGTGAGTTAACTGAAGGAAAGTTTGCATGAATAAAAGAAAATAACAGATGTGGGGGAAAGTTTGATGGAACAAAATCAGAAGACAATGACATGAGGAGAGTGTATAAATGCGATCCAAGTGGTTGAGGTCAAAAAGTGATACAAGTCAGAGAGACTGACTTTGAAATTAAAGTACACAGGGCAGCTAGGTGGTGCCCAGTGGATAGAGCACCGGCCCTGATGTCAGAAGGATCTGAGGATCCAGCCTCAGATACTTACTAGCTGTGTGACCTTAGCAAGTCACTTAGCCCCTATTGTCCCCATTACCCCACAAAAAGAAAAAATTAAAATGCACAAGGATAATATAAAAATCAAAGGTCTTCTACAAATTCACCACGAAATGACATGCCTAAATTCCACAGCTAAGAAAATAATAAGGAAAATTTGGAAACAGAGGGAAAAATCGGAATCCACAGGATGTTGAAAGAAATTACAAGTTTAACTTAAACCCCAAGAAAGACAGTGGTAAAATTTCAGTATTTTAATTTCTTTTTTTTCAGTATTTTAATTTCAAACAATAAATATTGGAGGTAGCCAGGAGAAAGCCCTTCATATACCAAGAAAATAAGTTTGGATTTCTTGAGACATTTAGGCTAGTGTAAGGGAACAGGACAATTAATACCAATGTTAAAGAAAATTGTACTAAAAACTGCCTAGTTCTCTCCTTTATACACTCAAACAGTTCCTGGGAAAATAAGCACAAGTAGTTGCTTCAAAGTGTCCCCCCTACCAAGTTTACTCCTGGGAGTGAACTTGATAGATAAAGCTGTTCTTGCTAGCAGGAAACTTGTCTTAGTTGCCAGGTCAGTATGGCCTAACTTAATCAGGTTGCTAAGGGCAGGCTTTTCACCAAACTTGGCTGTTCTAGCTACAATAGACTCTGCTATACCCTCTAATTGTTGGGTTTGTGATGATTCTTCTGACCCTTTGAAGTTTTCAACTGGGACCATTCCATCTTTAGTCCTTATTTACCTAAGATCAGGAAAGAATAAACACAACAGAGACAGAGCTGAAGTAGAACCATTCATTCACAGCTGACTGACACCTGGGTTAAGGGATAGAGGTTTATAGTGGCTCTCATCATGTTCACCACTAGAATAGAGAGAGTTCATCCATTCCAACTTTTTGTATTCAATCAATCAAAAGGGGCAAAAGACAGTTTCTCCCCTCAAGGATCTTGCAAATTAATGGGTGGAGACAATGTACAAACAAAATTAAGTTATATACAGGACAAATAGGAAATAATCAACGAAGGGAAGGCAATCAAATTAAGAGAGAATGCAGAAGGTGTCTAGTAAAAGAAGGAATTTTAGTTGGGACTTAATGAGAGGTGATAAGATCCGGCACTGGCCTGGTAGCAGTGTCAGAAGAGAAAAGGGGTGTATTCTAGTGATGTTGCAAAGGTAAAATCGACAGGTCTTGGCAGCAGCTTGGATACTGAAGAAGCTTGGCCTGACCCCTTGCATTCTGACTTCAGGGGATATGTTGAGATGGAAATGCAGAAGATGGCAAGCACAAGGTGCTTAAGCTATGGCTCCTCTTATCACTGAGGGGGCTGGCAATGAGATGGCAATAGGATGAACTTACTAGTTGTATCATCTTGGTTAAACACCTTGACATCCTGTACTTCAGTTTTCTCATCTGTAAAATGTGATATAATGTAAATCTAAAATAATAGCGCCTACCTCCCAGGGCTTGCTCACCAACACCAGCAACAGGTGCCAATCAACTGCAGTCAACAGAAAGACATATTCAGTTGTAGCTCAGCAGCCAGTTAAAAGGTTTTTTCCTAGCCAATCAGTAAGTGGAACTGAAAGAGAAGATACCTGTACATACTCTGAACTGGGATGGAAAGAGTCACCATTACTCATTTCGGGAAGCAAATTCACTATGCCTCCACAGAGATACTACAGCAGGCAGAACATAATTGTGCGTGTATTAGACACTGATCCCTGATTGACCAGTCGTTACTTCTCTCATTCCCTTTACAGTATAAAGTAATAGCTTAGAAAATTAAAACAACAAAATCATTAGCATTTATATACAGCTATAACAAAAAACCGTGAAGAAATAATAGGGAAAATTATATTCAAAATAACCGTAAAATATATACATATCTGGGAGTTAATGTACCAAAAACACACAGTGAATTTATATTCTTTTAGAAAGACAAGCAATGAGAGAGATTTATTCATGGTTGGATCAGCTAGCTAACATAATAAAAATGATGATACTACTTAAATTAATTTGTAGATTTGGTGTGTGTTAATCTACCAAGAATTATTATATAGGACATTATAATATCAAAATTATTTTGGAGGAATAAAAGGTCAAGAATTTAAAGGAAATAATTTTTAAAAGTCCTACTGCTAAAATATCTTGCCTATGTGACCCTGAGCAAGTTACTTAATCTCTCACTGACCCAAGCAACTCTCTAAGACTATAAATTGCAGAATAATTATTAATTTGCATTGGTAGAGGATGCATTGTCACTGAAAGGTGATGATGAAACCATATGCCCAGACCAAAAAATACAAAGTAAAAAATTAGTAGCAATGAAGCATTTCTGATTTTATCAACTGTAAACAATATAATGTAGCAACCACCAAAAATATTTGGTATTAGTTAAAAAATTGTAAAGCAGATTAGTAAAACTGAAGCAAATGAACACAATAGCCTAGTATTTGATAAATCTAAGAACAAAAATAACTTGGTAAAGTTCTCCCTGTTCAACAAAAACTTTTAATTAACTTGGAAAACAATTTGACACAAGATAGATTTAGACTAGCACAAAATAATTTCCAAATGGATAAATGACCTAAATATCAAAGGTCACATCATACAAATATTATAGTAAATATAAGGAGTTATCTTACAGAAATATGGCTAAGGGAAAAATTCGTAACCAAAAAAGGAATAGGGGAAATAAAAAAGACAAAATAGACAACTTGAATTAAATAAAATCAAAATACTTTTTCACAAATGACATCAATACCTCTAAGCATATTATGGTGGAAAGAAAGCAGGATTTTGAGCCAGCACACTTGGGTTCAAATCTCAGGTCTGGTTCTTAGTACCTGTGTATGACCTTGGGCAGATTACTTAAATCTCTCTCAGGTCTGCTTCCTTATCCACAGAATAAGGGATAAGATGACTTTTTAGGCCTGTTTGATTTCTAATGTTATTATCTGTGATCCTATAATCCTAGGACAAGAGATATTGAGTTGGAAACACATTTACATCAAACTTCTCTGATAAAAGCCTAAATATCCAAGATATATAGAGAGTTGATACAAATATATAAAATCACAAACTATTCCCCAATAGATAAATGGTCAGAGAATATGAACAAATTCTGAAAGAGGAAATGCAAATTATCAACAGTCATGTGAAAAATGCTCCAATTTTAATAAAAAAGAAAAATATAAATTCAAACAACTCTGAGGTAAGATGTGAGATTATAACCCTCAAACCATTAAAAATTGTAAAATTGATTAGTAAGCTGAAACAAATGAACATTGAATTGGCAAAGATGATGGAGGATAGAACTAGTCATTGTTGTATGGGACTGTGGGAAGTCAGGCACAGAAATATACTCTTGGAAGAGATATAAACTGATTATTTGTTCTGAAAAATAATTTGGAATTATGTAAGAAAAGGTACTAAACTTCATATTCTTTAATCTAAGGGATTTTACTACTAGGAATATACCCCAAAGAGTTATGTCAGAAGGTCATGGGGACCTAGGGATTATGCAGTGCTAGGAAAAAGCATTAAGAGAGCTAATCATGTTATCTCTGCTGGGTAGGGAGACAACTGACACTAGAAGAAAGTTTGATAGACTTATATGAGTTTGGAAAGGTCTAGAAGAACAGAGATCTTTTTAAAAATAAAGACCAAGTTCTGTATGGCTGAGTGGACTGAAACAGGTAGAAGGAAGTTTCAATGATAAAGGAGAATTTCATGTTTTACTTCTATTAATGTAAATAATTTAAAATTCCTATAATATTTTTCTATACAGTTATTTAAAAACTTTCACAATGACCCTTTGGATGAGTTATAATATACAATGGGAAAGCACAACAGATAGGTTGTAACTTGTACAACCTAGATTGCACAACAGAAAATCAGAACTGGAAGTAATATCTAAACTCACATGTAATTTCTACAGTTTTCTTTAAAGAAGTGCTAGTATTCTTTAAAAGATATAGTCATTACTTATACCAAATTTTAGGAGAGATGAGGTATATTATTAATTTTAAAACTATCCTTTAATTTTTTTTAATAGGAGACCAGATACATCAGAGACAGAAGAGACAACAACACCATGCCCATTTTGTGAATTCCTTCTCCCTGAGTGTGAACTACTGTGTCCAGGATGTAAAAATAATCTCCCATACTGCATTGTAACTGTAAGTTTCTTAGAAACGTATTTTATACAGGCAAATGTCTGATAATTTAGAAATCTTTTTTTCTATTAGGTTCTTTCCTTTTTTGTCTTTTTTAGTATTTTATAGAACTATCACTTTTCATAAGAGGAGTCAAAACATAAGCTATCAACACTATTCTAGACTGAAGTAGTTACATTTAAGTCATTTAAAAAACCCCTAGATCAATGTTATATATTTTAAAAAGAAATGGGCATAGATTTTTGAAACTCAGATAATTCTATCCAAAATCAGATCAGAATAATCCTTAATTAATATAAATAACTCATATAGTATATTAAGGTATATAAAGTACCAAATTTACAACCACTCTGTGGCTTAGAAAGTAGAAGTGTTAATATTCCCATTTTTCAAATGAGGAAATTGAAACTTAAGTTCATGTCCATGATCAGGAAACTAGTGAGTGTCAGAGGTGAGATTTCATACAGGCCTCCACTGAGTCCAAATCCAGCACTCTCTCCGTTACAATATACTGTTTGTCAAACTGAGAAACATTTAGCAGTTCCTGAAAAGTTGAGAGGATTTAGCTGAAGTATGGATTATACTCAACAATGTAACCAGTATTTACCAAACAGCTGCTATGTGCTGGGTGCCATGTTTAGAAAGTAAAGATGAAAAACGTTGCAATGGATTTTTGGCAGGAACCTTATTTCCTTGGTAAAAAAAAAAAGCAAAATAAATGATTCAAAACTTCTCTCAAGGAGCGTCCAGACATTGAGCCTCTAAAAAGGGTGGCTTTTTGCAACACCAGTTCACCATGGGGAAGTTGGTCCTAAGAGCCACCAACAAGAATAAAGGAGCCCTGAGAACTTCAATCCAGCAACTATGAAGGGCAAGAAAAATTTTGCAGGGAATTGCAAGTACATAATGAAGTCCATAATGTTTGTCTTTCTATCGTGGTCACGTATCTGATATTTTACTTAAACTGATATCTTACTTAGCTTAAATTCAGGGGAGCCTCTCCTAGAAAAAGATAAAAGTACTTGAGTACACCTTTTCTCTTCAGGTCATCAAGAAGAATTATGTGCCTTGACAAATTAGAACTGATGTTTCAAAATAAAAACAAAGAAGAAGGAGGAGGCAGACAGTAATCCTGACCTGTGTCAAGAGGTTTGGGTGAAAAAACATGAGATATAGAAGAAAGGAAAGAAGAAGAACTATGGAACATGGAACTAAATAACTGATATAAAGCTCTTTCCAGAGAGGGGAAAATGAGACCCCTCCCAGGAAGAAACTGATGCTTGTCTTCTAAGAAATTGTGATGTGGCATCATGTAACCTGGAGTCAGGAAAACTTGAGTTCAGATTAGGCCACACTACTAGCTGTGTGACCCTGGGCAAGTCACTTAACCTCTGTTTGCCTCAGTTTCCTCAATTGTTAAATGGCGATAATAATAGCATTGTTGTGAGGATCAAATGAGATAATACTTGTAAAAAGCCCTTAGCGCAGTTCCTGGCACATAATAGGCATCCTAGAAAATGCTTATTCTCTTCCCCTTTTCTCCTCTTCCTCTTCCAAAGTCCTAAAAACCTAAAAATGTGGATCTCAAGGAAGAACCAGAAGAAAGATCACATAGAGATTAAATACAGCCCAAAAGGTCTAGTGAAAATATATCTGCATGAAATCTTATCAATCTAATCAAAAGGGCTTTAAGCAGAAAAGGGAGTAGGTGGCAGAATGCTATCTAGATGTACGTAAAAATCTAGATGTCATAGCAAGTAGTGGTAACATAAGGAGAATAGCAGTAATGTTGTCCAGTAATTCACAGGAGACAAAATCCAAGAACAGAGCTAGCAATAAAATTTATAGCCTCAGCTATCTATCTACAGATGCACAAAGTAATAGTAACAAGCAAGATGAACTAGAGGTTTTCTAGGAGACAATTTTGACGTCATATGACTCACATTTTCTGGGGTAAAAAACATGGCTGGCACACGGCTCCATTCCAGCCTCCAACTCTTAGAATAACCTTGCTTCATTTTAGACCCATCTCACACTTCCTTCTTTCTTCCTCTTCCTTCCTCTGGATGAGAGAATGGGGCTGATGACTTTGCACAGTTCTGCCTCACTTAAGTCCAATTCACTTGCAAGTGAAGACAACACCCTCCTGATGTCATTGTCCTCTTCACAATGAAGGACAAACAACAACAACACTTCCTCTGCAAAACCTTTCTTGATTCCCTCAGCTATTAGGGTCATTCTCCCTAAGGTTATCCTCTAGCTACTCTGTATTTTTCAAGTAGGTTCTCATTTATATATTTTCGCTCCCATTAAAATGTAAGTACTTTGAGGGTAGGGAATATTTTTGCTTTTTGTTTGTATCTCCAGAATTTAGCATAGAGCTTAATAAATGTTTGTTAATTGATTGGAAGAGTATACATTACGCAAAAGAGAAAGAAAAGATAAAAGAGAGTAGAATAGAGTACAGTTGTGGCTAGCCAATATGTCTAGTCTGGCAATATGTTATCCTTGAAAATTATTATATAAATCAAAAGAAAACATTTGAACTTTAACCCAGATATCTATTGATCACATCTTTCAAATGCTTGAGAAAAATGAAAATGACAAAAGTTTTTTATCTCATTGTGATTTAATTTGAAAATGGCAACATTGAGATGAAGCTATTAGTAGTAATAATAATATTAGTAGCAATAATAATAGCTAGCATTGATATAGCACTTTAGTAGTTACAAAACATTTTACTCATATTAATTCATTTGATCTTCACCGCAATCTTGTGAGTTAGGGACTCTTATTGTCCCTATTTTGCAGATAAGAAAGGTACTTGCCCAGAGTTACACAGCTTATAAGTTTCTGAAGTAGTATTCTGAGGAAGGCTTTCTCACTTCAAGTCTAACACTGCACTACCTACCTAGTGGCCCATATAAAGACAGAATTGAAACCATGCTCCACCTAAGCCTAATCATTGACCCTGATGTAAGTTGGGAGGAGAGCCTGAAGAAGATAGAAGAACTAAAACAAGAAAGTGAAAAGGTTCACATGGATGTAGATAGAAATAAAGAAAAAAAATTTCATATGAAAAAGATGAATTATCAATCATTCTTATCATTTGAAACCCACATATCCAAGGTAGAAAGAAAATATGAATCAAATTATTCTGTTTGAGAGGGGTTGGGATTTTTGTTTTTTCCCTTCTCAAAATAGGATATCAGAATCATGGGTGATAAAAAGAATCATGTTTCATTTTAGGTGAATTTTTAAACATTCCTTATGAATATAAATTTGTACTGTTTATTCAGTGAAAATATTGTCATGTGTGCAAAAGTTTTTAAAAAAACCAACACAATTCCTATCCTACTCCAAAAGCTTACCATGCCACAGACTGGCCTTTCAGTAGTTAATACTGTCACTTCTCGGTTAGTTACTTGCAGCCCTATTATCTTCCAGGCCCCCAAAGATATGCAGTAGCTACTTAGTTGGCAGCTGCACCTATAATAAATCGACTACAACTACCATTACCATTAAATTTCATTATAATTAAAATTAATCAAGTTCTCCCCCCGCCTCCACACCATGGTGGTACACTTAATTTGGAAAAACATTTAGTGCTTCTGTATTTTAGTACAATAAAATAGATTTAAAATCTCTTTAAAGCTTATTGTAGTGATATCTAATCAATGTTACCATTTGTTTATTGCATTTTGGATAGTGGGAACAATATTAAACTCATAAACAATATGATGCTTTTCTTTACAAAGCTCTTACACACTTTGAATATACAAGTTTTCACTTTTGGATAGTTCTACTTGTTAATAAGTTACATTGAGTCAAAGTCTACCTCTATATATTTTCCAACCATTGCTTCTAGTTTATATGAATGGAATCAAACAGAACAGCTCTAATCTTACATACAAAAACTTCAATAGTATAAATTTATTTCACTTTATACAATAAATATATTCCTATTTATTATTATCATTCCTAACTAAAAGTTGTGTGTAAAATAAGTTCAGATGTATTTTTTTTCTTCACTTTTACAGAGGAATATTTACTTAGCAGGTATATAGTGAGAAAGGAAGTACAAACATTTACACCACAGTGCCTTAGAGGTACATTCTCTTCTATACCACCTTAGTCTATGAGAAGAGTGGGATCAAATCTAACAGTTTCTACATAATATTGGTACCACAAAATTCACTTCCAATGCGGTACACTGGCTGGATAAGTTCATATCTCAGTTACCTTTGGAGAATTTTTAGGGAAGCAGATTTTAAACTTAGTGTAAAGACACCCTTAAAATTAGATGATCAGTAGTGGAATGACTTTTCATATGAACAGTGAACTCCTCATCATCATTGGAGATTTTCAACCAGAGGTCATTGCAGAAGGGTAGCAAGTTAGACCATCACTGGGGAAGAAGTTAGACCTCTAAGATTAATTTCATCTCTAATTTCAATTCTATAATATAGTCACACTCTTTAAATGAATTATCTGGGTAATCTTTTTATAAAAAAAGAAATCAGTTTTTCATTAGTTTTATCTATCTTCATAAATCTATATTTTATCAATTAGATATTATTTGTCAAATAGTTCAGCAAATACAACAGATAATTTATTTAGTATAGAAAACATGCTGATCTATTTTATTTTTAAGCATTTTAATCCCTGAGATGTTGTATTACTTATTAGCTGTTAGACAAGTCTAATGTTTAATTTTAAAATGGGGAATTACACCATTACAGTATTTTACAAATGCAATTTTTTTTTTAAATTTAGAGATGTGAAATAATGAAACTTGAAGAAACTTAATATTGTCTGACCATAGGTCGTGGCAGGGGATTTTGTGAATTGGAAGACTATATAAAATGTGGTATGAAATAAATTATTCAATCATTATTCAAATAATTTTTCTATAAAACTTTTATTTAAAGGGTAGACATATGATAAAGGATGATTGGACTGTGTGCCCTTACTGTGACTTTCCTGCTTTATATTCAGAGATGAGAATGTAAGTTTGAATTGTTTTACTTCTAACACTTTAAAACTTCCCAAATATTACACTTTCTCATTTCAGGCTATAGAAAGCTCTATGCCCTCTTTCTATTTCTCTTATCTAACTGCTTTTGTGCAGTTTTCCAGGATGATTCATGATTTGACATCTTAATTAGTCTTATACCTTGTAATTTCTACTTATTGCTATACTTTTTTAGCTTTTTTATCCCAAAAATTTTTTTCTTACACAAAATTAAAATATTTGTTGGCTCTTTTTAAGGTGTTATCAGTAATATCCTAATAGCAGGCATAGGAAAGAAATTTCTCCCTTGCTTTTTCTTAAGGGACTTTTTATTTTAAAATTTTTATAGCACATTAAAAAATATGAAAAGTGCTTTGAAAACCTACCTTTAATGTACTAACACAAGGTCTTATACTTAAGTATGGATATATTGGAGAAGATTTATGATTACTCAATCAGCCAATAAAGAAGAATTGTACTATTGTATATTGCTGTATGGAGGCAGCTCGGTGGCTCAGTGAATAGAGCTCTGGGCCTTCAGTCAGGAAGACCTGAGTTCAAATGTGTCCTTAGACACTTACTAGCTGTGTGACCCATGCAAGTCACTTAACCTCTATTTGTCTTAATCTACTAGAGAGGGAAATGGCAAAGCATTCTAGTATCCTTGCCAAGAATACCCCATGGACAGTGTGGTCCACGGGGTCATGAAGAGTTGGATACAACTGAATAGCAACAACAAATGTTACTGTGGATAAGATGCTATGCTAGGCGTGGTGTAGGATACAAAGGGCACAGCTCTTGCGCTTAAAGGGCAGACCTGTTTTTTTCCTTTTGATATAGCAACATTGAAGGAAAAGATATGTTTAGCAGCAAAGAGAAAATCCTTTTTGATACAGATTGAGTTACTATAGCAACAGGTATATGTCCTTTTCTGCTGAGTGCATCAGCCTCAAGGGAATGGGTTGCTAAGGCAACTAATGTATATTTTCTCCACTTAACTGCAAGAAACATAAAAGCCAGGTGATTGGTGAGGAAATGATTTCGGTAATGTTTCTCACTGGAATTTTTAAGAGGATGGATTACCATAGAAACTAGAAATTAATAAAATGGAGGGTTTGGGGGCAATTAATGATAACATTAGAGTCGACCAAATGTTTATAAAAACACTAAGTATTATTTTACATGTATATGGGACATGTTGCTATAGTAGGAACTATGGAAATTTAGTGAGCATGGAAAAAAAATCCCTGCTGTTTACTTAAAAATCTAATGGGCAAACATGATAAAGAGATAGTGCTTTCTAGAACGTAGATTTAAAAGCAAACATATTTTAATGAAACTGATCTCAGTGATATGGAGACTCCCTTCAATAATGCAGATTGCTGCCTATCTATACCTTCTCATACTATGTGGTTCTTGAACTTGGTGGAGGTGGGGGAGGTGATCTACACACTATTCTTGGAGCCTTCCTTTAGAGCTCTGTATCTTGTATAGATTCCAGCTTGTCACAAGGGTGCTGCATGTGCATCTTTTGTCCCTTGCTTTTGACAGATGACTGGCTCAGCTACTTTTCCAGGTGTCTAACTCTATATTACTTTTGCATGGATGGCATATATTAATAATAAACTGTAGCTGACTTAGGCCTACTGTGGTCCTCTGCATTGCTCTTTGGGTAGTCAACAACTTTCATCCTTCAGAGACTATTTATATGTGTATATATATATAAAATATATACACACACATACACACACATTTATTAATTATTATCGTTAAAAATATTGTACAATTTCCTAGAGGTATACATTCCTCTTCCAATGTGGTCCAGTTTCCTCACTGAAGTTTCTGTCCAAGATATGTGTATTAGTGGGCAGGATCTATGGTTTGTCCATCGAATTGCGTATTATAATCTGGACAATGAATCATCTTCATTCATGTGGTTTTTTCTTTGAGGACAGTTAGTGTGAACCCTTGTCAGTGATTATGGGTCTCATTTAGGTGATTCTGTATTCTTGCAGAGATTGATGTAATCAGCATAATATCACCCACAAACAGGAAGTATGTGAAGAACATCACTAGATATAGGGAGTTCTTCAGCTTGGACTCCAAGTTGTACATTTCCCATGACAGTGGCAAAGATCTTTGTGAAGTATGCATGTCTCCATTGTATGCCTTGCTTGGTGTTAATAATCAAAGGGTAATTAAACTGGTTTCTGTTTGTTAAAAATATGATCTTTTTTTGTGATGTTGTCTGATGCCCATTAAGTACACTCCAGGCTCTCTTCTCAAAAGAAAATATTAATGAAATATAGATAGGACTCTTGGTCTCTCATTCCTTACTTACTGAATATTGAAGTAGTTGAAGTCTGTATTGATTTAACTTGGAGAGTCATAAGAGGTTCTTCCTCCTTATCCTCTGCCACAGCTATTGATGCATAAGCTGCAGTTATCTTCATGACAGCCTTTTTGCCAATCTTATTGTGAGCCCTACAGTAAGAGAGAACCACTATCCCATGAAATACTCTATCTTGTTGCTTTGATACACATTTAAACCAACTCTACCAACCCCTTTATTGTCCTTTCCAAGGAGAAAGCTATAAACCATCCTTTCATTGAGGGGAACCTTCCTTTTATCTGTTTGTTTCATTTATAGTGAAAATGTTTATATTGAAATGTTTTGCTTCCAAAGGAAATATTTCCACTTGCTGGGTACTAGTCAAGCATATCAACAGCTAAGTTAAGGGTTGTGGACATGCTAAAAAACTTTATAATTCTTGGTACCTTCTGTTCCCTCATGCATCATTCTCATCATTGGCACAGAAGTGAAAGGAGTTTGCAAAGTACTGGGGACTGTTTTGCATTTTTGGGGGGTTTGTTTTATGGATTGCCATAGCCAAAGAATTAATCATATGCTTGAAGCTTTTCAGCATAGTGGAACCTGCCAAAGCTTGAGGGCAGGGTTTATGTTTTTGCCTTTCTTTATATTCCAAAGGCTTAGCATAGCACCTGGCATTATTAAGTGCTTGTTAAATGTATATTGACTGTTGACTGACTTTTGTTAGCATAGCCTTTGAGAATTTAAGTTCATCTCTGCAACACGATGAGGTATCACAAGAACACTTTGTGAAGGAATGCTATAAATGTGTTGGTGGTGAAGGGAGTTCCTACATTGTAGGAAATCTCACTGTATTAAAATCACTGATTTGGACATAGTGGGGAGAGAGTGAAGGAAAGGGAAAGGAGTGAGAGGAAGCTGATTGTACATCTTAAGCAAGAAGCAGTAGATTATATACCTTTAATGAGTTAAAGAGTTGCTGACTCCACCCCTGATTATTCTTTTCAATGAAGATGGCCCACTGACTCTTTATAGTATTCACTTATTATATCATCAATAATGATTATGTGCCTTACACAGTTTAATGATAAACTGTGTAAACAAAATATTGAATTGAATCAAGCTAATATTTGGTGATGACTTGCCTTTAATTTAAAAAAGAGAAAATTCTCTAACAACCCCCTTGAGAATAAAGTTTCTTTTAACAAAATCTGCCTTGGAGAAGCAAATTTGAACAAGTTCCAGTCCCCTTAGTTCTGGGTCAGTGACAGTAGTGGCAGCAGCAGAATGAGAGGCAATGTTGCTACCTCAGGGACAGGCTTTTCATGGGTATCCTTTGGAACAAGAAGAGTGACACCCCAAGGCTTCCCATGGGCCCAGTCATCTCTGAGTGAGGTGTCAGCTGGACCATGTTATGTCAGAGAACTGTCCCCAGAGATGAGGTAGTACTAGGCAAGCCAAGACTCTGTTGCTTTCCTCATTGAAGGAGCTGGAAAGGATGCATGAGTGATAGTGTCCTACAGAAGGGGAGGGAATCTGGGTCCTGAGAGGTATTCTCTGCCTCTTGTTTGCTCTTGTTTAGTCCCTTTTTAGTTGTTTCCAACTCTTCATGACCCCATTCGGGGTTTTCTTGGCAAAGATACTGGAGTGGCTTACCATTTGCTTCTCCAGCTGATTTTACAGATGAGGAAACTGGGGCAGAAGTGACTTGCCCAGGGTCATACAGCTACTTAAGTGTCTGAGGCCAGATTTGAACTCAGGAAGATGAGTCTTCCTAATTCCAGGCCCAGCATTCTTATCCACTGCAATCACCTAGCTGTAAAGCTTCTGAGCATGAAGTGAAAATTGTTGGAATGTATCCTGTTCGTTAGTAGTTATCCTTACTCTGAAACTTATGGACAGTTCCTTTTATTATTTTCTGACTGAGGGATATCTAGTAATAAATCATTCCCCAAACCCTTGTTAATGGAGTTTGCCAACATAAAGAAACAGGGTTAATAGATGATAAGACAGTTATTTTTCAAAAAGTAAAAATTTTAACTTCCTAATATTTTTTAAGAAAAAAATGGAAACCTGAATAAAACAGCAAAATAATGCCAAATAAGTAAGCCTCAACACTATATACTTTCATCTTTTTTTTTTTTTTTAGAAAGAAAAGGTAATGGAAATTTTTTAATGAAACCATCAAATGATATAGCATGATTCATGTCTTACTTTCCAGCTGTACATAAAGTATTTGGTAGTTTAAGAGTGATACCCTAGGGGCTGTTTTACATCAAGGGCTAGAAATTCTTACCTGCCAACGTAGGCTGAGTGTGGAGAGAGTTAGGTAGTTAGGATGACCTTAAGAACAGTTTTTCTTAAGGTATTTTCAGAGTTAAAAGTACATACGGAGAGGGAATGAAAAGAGCGATAGGCAAAGGGAAATTTAACCCTTTTTTCCCAATTAGGAGGAATGGTACTAATGAATACCAGGGGTATGAAAAGTGAGCTCTACACCATATTAGAAGTGAGGGCTAACAGCTTTAGTGGTAAGTTGTAGTTAATGCTTTACAATTTTCTGGTAAAACAGATATTAACATACAACTTGTCTGTAATTTTTTTTTTTAAACAGAATGCTGCATACAGAAGGTACTTGTCCTATGTGTTCAGAAACATTGGACACTGCTCATATTAAAAAAATTGCTGACTGTACACTCTATCTCAAGCCAGAAGCAGGGGATCATTAATGGTTTCAGGTAAATGTTGTGGCAAATATTTAAGCAATGATGATAAAAAGTAATTTTAAAAGTTATGAGAATGTATTTTATAAGTTTGTTCATTTCATATCAGCCATATTATCTAGCTGTGTAGGTGACTGTGGGGTAATAAATTATCCTTATCATCACCCCTTTCTATGGACATAATACTGTATGGAAATTTGGAGAGTATGGTAAAATCAATCTCTTCTTATAATAAGCTTAAAATCTGACAGGAGAGATAGCAAAACATCTAGTGCTAAAAAAAAACAAAGATTTAGACTTCAGTATATATTCTTATACATATTTTAAAATATGTACAGGAGAAAATGGAGTAGAGGGATATAAATAATATTTAATGGTTCACGATATCTATATATCAATACATGGGATACAGGTAATGAATTGAATGGAATATTTTAATATGTTAAAAGTTGATAGGATGAGATTACTAGAATACAGCAGTAAAAGTTACACCTTCTCCAAAAGGGATAAAAATGATAGGTTACTCTAGTAGCACTGTGCACATATTTATATCCAATGATACTATGTCATCCCATCCATCAGTCACTTAGTAAACATACATAAACACCGAGTATGTGCCAGGCACTGTGCTAAGTTCTGGGGATACAAAAAGAAGCAAAACACAGCCCTTGCCCTCAAGAGTTCACAATCTAATGGAGGAGACAACAAACAAATAAATATGTACAGACAAACTATATACAGGAAAAAAGGAAATAATTAAAGAGGTAAGGCATTGGACTAAGAGGGGCTGAGAAATAATTCCTGTAAAAGATGAGACTTTAGCTGGGAAACCAGGAGGCAGAGATGGGGAGGAAGAGTATTCCAACTATGGGGGACAGCCTGAATAGAACTGAGAGACTGACTGTCTTGTTCCAGGAACAACAAGAAGGCCACTGTCACCGGATCAAAGAGTATATGGTGGGGAGCAGAGTGTGAGAAGATTGTAAAGGGCGCATGTGTATCTGTGTGTGTGTGTGTGTGTGTGTGTGTGTGTTATGGAGGGACATGAAAGGACCTGCACTATAGGAAAATTACTTTAGAGGCTGAATGGCAGATGAATTGGAGTAGGGACAAACTTGAGGCAGGCAGATCCACCAGCAGGATAACTGTGATAACTGTGATAATCCAGGGGAGAGTTGATGAGGACCTGCACTAGGGTGGTGGTAGTATCAGTAGAGAGAAGGGGGCATATTTGAGAAGTGTTGCAAAAGTGAAATTGATAGGCCATAGCAACAGAATGAGATTTGGGGGATGAGATATAGTGAGGAGTTGAGGATGACACCTAGGTTGTGAGACTAAGGGACTGGGAGGATGGTTTTACCTTCAACAATAATAGGAAAATAGGAGAGGGACACTGTTTAAGAGAAAGGTAATGAGTTCTGTTTTGGACATGTTGAATTTAAGATGTCCATTGGACATCTATTTTGAGATGTCTGAAAGGTAGTTGGACATGTGAGACTAGAGATCTGCAGAGAGGTTAGGACAGGATAGGTAGATTTGAGAATTGTTATAAACATGGTAGAACAGAGATGGGAGCTCTGTAGGATATACGTGGAAGCTGATGAGACCACCAAGTGAAGTAGTATAGAGAGAGGAGAGAAGGTCCAAGACAGAACTGTGTGGGACATCTATGGGTAGAGAGGTGTGACCTGGATGAGGATTCAGCAGAAAAGACTGAGAAAGAGTGGCTGAATAGGTAGGAGGAGTAGGAAAGAATAGTGTCCCAAAAATCTAGAAAGAAGAGAGTATCAAGGAGAAGCCAGTGATCAGTAGTATCAAAGGCTGCAGAGAGGACAAGAAGAATGATCTTTGAGAAAGCAAGTTCAGTGGAATGATGAGGTCAGAAGCCAGACTGTAAGGACTTAAAAAGTGAGTGAAAGGAAAGTGGAGGCACCTATTATAAATGGCCTTTTCCAGAAGTATGGCCACAAAGGGCAGAAGAAATATAGGACAATCATTAGCAAAGATCAAATGAGAATTTTTTTTCAGGATAGGAGAGACATGGGCATGTTTGTTGGCAGTAGGAAATGAGCCAGAAGACAGAAGAGATTGAAAATAAATGAAAGTGGGGATGACAACCTACTAGGGGAGATAGGATAGAATGGGACCACTTGAATAAAGAAGAAGGGTATGGAGTAAGGCTGCTTCATCATGTGAGACAGGGGTGAAGGAAGAGAGTGGCAGAAGACACCTGAGAGACAGAAGATGAGGAACACGGGAGAAGAGGGAGCTCATGGTGAATGACCTAATTTTTTCCTGTAAGCTGTCAGCTGACAGAATGGGGGTAGGAGTTGTAATGGGAAGTTTGAGGAGGGATGAAAAGGTTTGGAAGAGCTGCTGTGGAGAGAAGGATAGTGAGTTGATAATGGAGATACAGTAGGATTGGTTAGCAGCAGTAAGGGGGCCAGTTGAGGTTGTGTGACATAAATTGGTACTGGAACTAGTCAGAATAGTGTGATTTTCTCCATCTTCATTCAGCAGCACATGTGTAGATGTGAAGGCAACAAACGGTGACAGGATCCAAGGCTGAGATATGGTGAGGGGGCTATGGATTCAAGGGAGGAGGACAACATAGAGTTGAACTGGTTTACTAAGGAGTCAAGATAGGGAAAAAGAGCAGAGAGTGGCTAGTGCATAGGAGGTGACCTGGGAGAAGGGGATTCGAGGTCATGGTGCAGCTGAAGAGTGGGATTATATGTGGGTAGGCAGAAAGAGAAGTGGAAAGCCTCTTTTCGCTGATTATGGCCAGATAAAGGGATTTCAGAATTCTTCAACATTGAGCTGGCAATTTGTGAGTGATGGCAAGATCCAGGGCATGATCAAGGGCTGCAGAAGAAGGGTACCTACAGCCTCAAGGCCACATGTGGCCCGCTAAGTCCTCACTTGTGGCTCTGACTGAATCCAAACTTCACAGAACAAATCCCATTAACAAAAGGATTTGTTCTGTAAAACTTGGACTTAGTCAAAAGACCACATGTGGCCTCGTGGCAGCAGGTTTCCCACCCATGGGCTAGAATGTAGCAGCTTTCAGATAGGGAAAAGGTGGTGATAAGGCCTATGTAGGAAGCATCCTTCGGTGTCCAAGTTTAAAGGTATAACCCGAACCAAGGCTTTGATTGGTGGGTTGAGGCTAATATCGTGAGGTGACTGAGTTGGAGGACTATATGAGGAAATTCCCTGACTAGGCCCCAGCTTACTGTATTATATAAGACTAGAGAAGCAGATTTCAGAGGGCTATACAGTGATGGAACTGAAACTGAGCTAAAATCAAGACCTAGACTAAGAAAAAAAAAGGTAGGTTGGAGGGAGGAGGTACAGAAAATGGACATATATCCTCTAATTGGCATTGAGGACCATGATTAAATTGTTAAGAAGTTTGAACTGTTTTTTATTCTTTATTTGCCTTTCTTCCCAACCCCTACTTCTTGTATAATCCTCTGTAGTACTTCATAGTAAAACTTCTAATTCACTTACAAAGATTGCTTTGCTGCTATCAGGGAGTCAGGTAGGGGGACAGGGTGGTGGAAAAACATTTAGAACCAATAAGCTCTAGGGGAAGTTCAGGAAGCTTTAAACTTGTAGAAGGCACCAAAAAATCCTGGAATTAATAGGCTACAGAAATACTCCATGGCACCACAGAAAGCACTGGAAAAAACCCTGTAGTTATGATTGCTGAATAAGTCAGTAACCTTTGAAGAGTTATTGTGAATAAGAGAATTGTCACTGGGTTGGAGATAGAAAACTGTACCAATTTTGAAAAACAAGGGGTAGATTGTTCAGACTATAAGCTGGTAATTGATGTTTTTTTCCTCGTAAACCTCTGGAACAGATTAATTAGGGAAATTTCTTATGATCACTTAGAGGTGATCACCAAGAACCGGCTTGTTCATTCAGAACAGGTCATGCCAGATTAACCTCATTTCCTTGTTGTTTTTTTTTTTAACTATTAATTGGATAGGTAGATCAGGGAAATACCACTGTCTTAATGTATCTTGATTTCAGAAAACAAAGGAAGCTAGTTCTATTGGGAATTGGTTGACCTTTGGAATAGAAAGACTGTTGATATATGGATCTATTGTCAACCTGGACGGAGGTCTCTAGTGGATCATCATCTACCTGGGTCCTTATTTTGTTGTTTTGCTCAACATTTTTATCAATAATTTGAATAAAATCATAAATGGGCTACTTATTAAATTAGTGTATCAGAATTTTTGTCTAAAAAATTCTTGACCAGTAGTGGACATGAACAAGATCACAGAATCAGAATTTCAGATTTGGGAGTGGCTTCAGAAGCCATCTTATCTCGATCAAGTCTAGAAAATGAACTCTTTTACAATGATATACCTGAGAAGAAGTCATCCGGCCTTTGCTTGAAGAGCTTACCTGAGAGTGGACATATTATCTTTTGAAGCAGCCTAATCTACTTCTGGATATTTCTAATCGCTAGGGAATTTTTCCTTATGTCAACTTTAATTTTGCTTCTTTGCAATTTTGAAAACAGCAATAACATCACTCCCCAAGTCTTCAATTCTCCAGGCTAATCATCTTCAGTTTTTTCCGCCATATGGCATGAATTTGTGGCCTTTTACTGTCCTGGTTGCCTTCCTATGGGCATCCTCCAGCTTATCAATTCTCTTCCTAAAATGTGGTGCCTAGAACTGAATTAAATATTCCTTATGTGGCCTGATCATGGAATAATCTAATAAGATTATCACCTTCCTACTTTTGGATGCTGTGCTTCTCTTAATGCATCCTCTAATTTGTATTTATTAGCCTTCTTGGCTGTCATACCACACTGATGAGTCATAATCAGTTTGTAATCTAGTAAAACCCCAGAGCTTTGTAAGAACTGCTATCTAACTATCCCTCCCCCTATCTTTTACTAGTGAAGGTAACTTTTGAACTCAGGTATGAGACTATATTTATTTGTATCAAATTTCATTATATTAGATGTTATTTAATCAAAGAATTTCAAATTAGGAAAGTACCTCTGGGCCATTTAATCCACACCATTCATGAAAGGATCTAGCCTTAATAGCTTTGTAATACTGTCATTCAGTGTACTTTAATACTTATACTTTTCATGTTTTTATTCAAGTCAATTTTTAAAGTAAGAGTGTAGGACCAAGCATAGGTCCTCGCACTTAAGCCTTCATTTCAAGTTTACATTGAATCAGTAATGACCTTCTTTGGATCCAATCATTTAACCAGTTCTGAATCCATTCATGTAGTGATGTAAGGGATATCATTGAGGAAATGTATGCTCAGAAGAAGGAGTGGGCCTATTAAGTACATAAGGATAATAAATGAATAGCTTCACAAAGTGTTTAAAAAAAAAAAGACCTGCACAGTCACTTCCGTTATATTGGGTGCATGTGTAGAAGATCTTTGGTATTAAAACATAGAAAAGGTTGGCATAGGACAAGGGCTAAATGTGATGTGATCTGTACCAAGGCGCAATGAAATGACTTCAGGTGATATAGCTAGATTACCATTTATTAGGGGATTCCTCTATAGGCATTGGCTGGAATAGGTGATTTCTGAATTTCCTTCTGAGATCTGTGGTGTTCTGCTTAATTCAGACCGCATCTGGAATCTTGTGTTTTGTTTGGGGTATAACAAATCAGAAGGAGTATTAACAAATGATGACAGTGAGAATGGTGAGAAAATCTGAAACCATATGATAGGAGCAAGTGGTTAAGAAACATGAGTTATTTAGATTGTAGAATTAAAGATTTTAGGGAAAACCTTGTAGCTGTCTTTCAGATATTTAAAGAGTGCTTGTATGGAAAACTAATTGACTTATTATGTATGGATCTAGAAAGCATAATCAGGACCCGTGGGCAGAAGTGAGAAGAAAACAGATTTTGGTTCATTATAAACCAGTTGATTGCAACATATATTCAGTAAGTGCCTACTTATATTCAAGGCAGCTACGTGGCCCAATGGATAGAGTACTGGGCCTGGAGTAAGGAAGACCTGAATTCAAATTTGGCCTTAGCCATTTATGAGCTGTGAGAGCTTGAGCAAGTCATATCACATGTTTGCCTCAGTTTCCTCATCTGTAAAATGAGGATAATAGCACCTGCCTCTCAGGGTTGTTGTAAAGATCAAATGAAATAATAATTGTAAAGCACTTGGCACAGTGCCTAGCTAGCATGTAATATTTGCTATATAAATGTCAGCTGTTATTATCATCACTATTATTAATATAATAATAATATAATTTCCTCACATTAGAGATATCTGAAAATGTAATGGATTACTTTGTTAGGTGATTATTTCTTGCTACTGTAAGTGATCAGGCAAGAGCTGGATGACTCCTCAAGGATCTGGTAGAAGGTATTCATGCATCAAGGAGTTTAGACTAAATGGTCACTAAAAATCCCTTCCAGTATTAATTCAATGACATAAAAAAGTACAAGAACTTCACAAGGTAATATAAACACTTCATTTAAGGGGTACATTAAAAAATATCTGTAGCTTATATGAAGTGATATTGACATATAAATCTAAGGATAATATAAGGTATAGAAATGTTATAGCATTTAACATCAACACTGCTTTCTGCTGATCTATGTCAATCACCTTCTTCAAGACCCAGCTAAGAGTTTCCTTTCTCCAGGAAGGCTTTCTTTATGAATCTTGCTATGATAAGACCTTTATTCTGTATTTCCTTAGCACAGCCATTTTGAGAGTTGGTAAATATTTTAGTTTGGCTGTTGTATGTTGGAGGGGATTAATATGAGTTAAGGAAGGGGAAAATAATAGCACTTTGAAATCCATTTAGTTCATTCAATACACTTAATGTGTTCTCATCACTTCACGTGGAAATGACAGCTTATTAATTGGTACCTTCTTATCTTTAAATTTTTAAGTATTTTAAAAAGTTTCTTAGCTATGCCCAGATAGTATTTACTATACTGGCACAATGTTGCAAGGTACATCAATGTAAAAATATACCAAGTTAACAATGATTGAAGTTTATTCTTAAAAGACTATATCTACCTTTTGTATCTGTTCTAGTTTTAGCCTGAATTGTAAATGGCTAAAACCAGAAATTCAGATTCATGAGGGTCCACCAAAATATTGATGATACTATTATTACTAGAGGTGACTTTTAAGAAAGACTTTAAAGTTGTATTCTAGTCTGATTAGTTAATAATCTTTTCATTTTAAGGAGTAGATTGCCAGGATCCAGAGAAATTTTTAAAATTGACTATTCATGAATATAAATTCTTCATGCAGATTAGACTAAGGGGAATCTATTGTTTGACATTTTTGCTACTATATACATTTTGATAAAGCCACTTAGCATAGGACTTTTTCTCTTTTTATAGGTAGTGTTAGGTGTTAGAATATAAGATTGTGCTAAATGTAGGTTTTATCAGGCTTTTATGGTATGTCATAGTTTTGGGTGTGGAGTGTACTGCATTTTGATCCATTCAACCAATCAATGCAATGGTAAGCCATACTCTAACAATGATCTTTTGTGTTTTCTTTGATAATCCAAGCATTAACAAAAATATTTTTTTTATTTTCAGACCATTTAATCCAGCTAACTGACATTAAGGCAACCTTCTTAATTGGATATGTTCTAAAAGAGAAAATGAAGTTAATTAATAATGACTTTTTATTTTTTCAAAGTTAATCTGTTGTTAATTGCTGAATAACATTTGTGTGGCATTTTATGATTTATTTATAGATGAAGAATGCTTTTGATGAAATACTTTGTTATTGTTTACCTAAAATACCTTATAATTTGATAGGCATATGATTTGTTATGAATGTGTAATATTTTCTTATGTTTATTATTTTTAAATCAAACTGTACTAATATTTAAACCAAAAAATATTTAAGTATAAATAAACTTCTTAGATTGACTAAATTGACCAAGGATGGTGTGGAATTTTAAAAAAATAATTCCTTCAGAAATCCCATGTTTTTTGCCAGATTTTTTTTATATCCTATTAAAATTATACAATAACTCCAACAAAAGATTTAAATTTTTTTTCCTAGCTTGAGCCTATAGATGATTGGATTAGCAGCCCTCCTAGCTTTTGTTTATTAATGTGAAGAATAGTAAGTAGTTTGAAATGAGAAAAGGGAGTCAGCAACGGTGGGAAGAAGCCAATAGCTGATATCTATATAGTGCTTTGTTTTTCAAAGCACTTTACATATACTATCTCATTTGACCTTCACACCAGCCCTGAGAGTTAAGTGCTACATATATAATTTATCCCTGTTTTACAGATGAGGAAACCAAAGTGAATTGTGTAGGATAACATAAATATTGGAGATAGGATTCAGAACCAGTTCTTCCTGATTCCATGATTCCTGTTCTAAAATCCATGAAACTTCTGATTGGGGAAGACAGTTGATGAGCATGTATTATGATACTCTTTTTGGCTAGCTTTAGAAGAGTGGCTGCTACAAACAGATGTGTTGGAGATTCCTGTTCTAAAATCTATGAAACTTCTGATTGGGGAAGACAGTTGATGACCATGTATTATGATACTCCTTTTGGCTAGCTTTAGAAGAGAGGCTGCTACAAATAGATGTGTTGGAGAACTTCAATGTTAGGCAGTAAAATGGGGAAATGAATTATTTAACTGACAAAATTTTTTGCAGAAAGATTAAAGAAAAAAACCCCTTTTGACTGTTTCAAAACTATGAATTGACATATTTTTTCTAAGCTGTACTTTGGAACCCCAAAGGGAGGTAAAGAGTTGATAGAATGACTTTTTATTGGCATTACATATCAAAGATTTCTGATTTAGTCAGAAGAGCTTTCTTTCAAATCACAGATTCTAATAATTCCTTTAGCAACTGTACGAAGGTAATAATGTGACTATCTTCTGATTTTTAAAAATCTTCTCTCTGTCCTAATATTTTTTGCTCCTTTTCTTCTTCCCACAAATGTATTCAGGACAGAGACAAACAAGAAAGCACATTAACCAAAAAATTATATTTAAAAAGGTTTTTTTTTAGTTTATACTCAATATTGATCATTACATTAAAAGATGAAACTTTATTACAAACATCACAAAATGTTTCTGCTCTTTTTTTTGGTAAACAATAAATAATTCACTGAGAGCATTAACATTCACATATGTACTTTACAAATATACAAATACGTATTTTAGACATCAGGCACCTTAAAAACATTTCTAACCAGGTATGGAACCTAATTTTTTCAAGTTGTCTATTGTAGTGAAGCACAATAATGAGTTATATCTACTGTGCAGAACATAAGAAACAAGGCACAAGAAGCAAATACAAATGTAAGAAAACATACATGAAATAATAAAGTAATTTAGTTACAATAATATCAAAAGATAAATCAAAAAGCATTTCTGTAATAAGGGGAACCCCCCCCACCCCATATTTGGAGCTGTTGCCTTATGACTGGATATCTGTCATGTGGAGTAATATTATAGGAAATACATATTTTTTCTCCAAATAAGATTGTATTTCTTAAATTACTACAAAATCATGATTCAATTGCATTTTGAAAACATGATATGTAACTCTTGGTTAACTAGATTTAGTGGAATGTCTAAACATTCCCCCCAAAGTCCATATTATATTTTATTGGGTTCTTACCTTATACATTTTTTTGTTTGCCAAGTGGAATAAATGAACTCTTTTTCTTTATAAAGGTCACATCTAGTACATATATAATAAGGCTCTTTCCAAAAATATTCATTAGAATATTGTTTAGCATAAGATGCTGCTGAGGCTTTGGTTAAATAAAAAAGTTTCTGAACCTCACATATGGTGAAAAAGTGCACCAAGGATGCATATGTTTCTATTTAATTACAAGGCAGAGGCATTTAGAGCTCTTTAAGTTGGTGCATTTGCATGATGAAAAATGAAATAAAATTTAAATAATGGTTTATTCCAGCTATGAATAAATGAAATTCTTGACTGACATTTGTTTCTGTGTGGAAAAATTAACTGATAATCATATTTCATATCAGTCTACCTGTATTAGTTTATCAAGAAAATGATGGAATCTTATTTTTAAAAAGGTGCTTAATATTTGTTTATTTATCCCTCCCCCTTTTCATCTTCAATTTCACATCAGATACCTTATACCTGACAGAAGACATGCTGCACTTGAAATTTCCTTAAAATGTAATCCATTTATCTTAGAATTTTATAAAGGAGTAAATTATCTTCATGTGTAAAATAATTATTAGGTTAGAGTTTTACAGTCACAACACATGCCCCAGCTCTTCCTAGGCACAATGGTGCAACCTAAAACAAAAAGAAACAACATGACAGCCCAATTCATTGTGTTTCTGTAAAGAGTTAGTCAACTAGCATTTGTTAAGTGCCTAATACATGCCAGGCACTGTGTTAAGCTCTGGGGATGCAAAGAAAGGCAAAAAATGGTCCTTGCTCAAGGAGCTCACAGTCTAATAATGGGTTATCATTAGATGTGTGTATTACACAACTATTCCATGCCTTTTGCTGAAAGGTGATTTCTTTTTTTAGTAGCTTAGAGATTATTTAACAATTTTCTTTATGTACAACTGGTCATTGTGGCATTGTACATATTTTAGCGTAAGTGATATATACTGCAGGGACGTACTAGAAAGTGAAGGGCTAAATGAAATTTTATTTATAGTTTATGTTAAAAAATGGCCAACTATTATCCAATATTGGCCATTTAATAACAATTGCACATTTAGATATAGATGTATAATAACTGGGCATACTAAAATGCAGGAGTACATCTTGTGCTTGCCACCTCCTGGAATATCCTAATTTTAGGACACTTGATCAGTCAAAAAGACTTGATTTACATAGAGTATTTTCTCTGGGCTGAGGACTGCCCAGGCCAGGGTCTTAAGAAGAATGTAATGAGATGGAGTATAAACCTCTATCTTTGCGCAAAGTCTAGAGATACCACGGTTTAGTATAAAGAACACTGGCTCTGCAGTTCAAAGATTTAGAGGTTGAAATCATACTCTGATGCGACCTGTGTGACCTTGGGTAGTCACTTATACTCTGGGTTTCAGTTTTCTCTTCTGTAAAATGAGGAGGGAAGACTGAGGATCGTTCCAGATTTAAATCTAAATCCATGATCCTATGACATTTTTGTGGATTTAAAATGAATTAACTTTTTCAAAGTTGTTTTAATTTGAAACAATAGATTTACTGTAAATAGATCCTGTATGGGGATTGAATTTCTACCTATTAATAAACCATCTGACTTTCTTAGTTTTCCAAATGGGAACATTTATCAAATTTTCATCCCTCAACTCCATATCCTGAGTCTCTACTCTCCGCATCAAACAAGGCACTGTGGGAAGTAGGGAACATAGGACGCAATGTGGGCAACAATAATTTTTTTTAAGGTTGCTTTGAGCAGAGTAGACTAGAGGGAAGGAAAGTATTTAAGAAGATATTGTTTTCTCTGTACCGTCTTTAGTTCCCTAGGATGGATACCTAACCATATTTCAAAAAAGTTGTTTTTGGGGCAGCTAGGTGGCACAGTGGATAGAGTACAGGCCCTGAAGTCAGGAGGATCTGAGTTCAAATCTAGCCTCAGACCAAACACTTGACACATACTAGCTGTGTGACCCTGGGCAAGTCACTTAACCCCAATTGCCTAAAAAATTTTTTTTAAAAAGTTAGTTTTTAATTCAGGAAACATCTCATTTACCTTTCCCCAAAAAATGTTGGTGAAAGGGTTTCACAAGATGAGTACACAATGCAGCAGCACACAAAATGTATGACTGCATTTTGGTATGTACAGTTATTATATATATAATACATGTCTAAATAATTGTGATTACATTGACAATATTGGGGAATACTTGATCTTTTTTCTAATACAAGCTACAAATACAATTTATTTTAGCACTCTGCTTACCAGGATGTCTCTGCAGTATATATCATTTATGCTAAAATATGGGGAAAATTACTGAAATGTAAATACATATTTTAATGGAGAACTTTTAACCCAATTATGTGGTTCAGTCATTTTACTTCTTATTGTATGCCCATGAACAATAAAAAAATTAAACTATATGTGATTGCCATAATTCGAGGGTTGCCCTAAATTCTACAATCAACACTTCTGTCAGTAATATTCAGCTTTTCTTCAAATGTCCAGCTCAATACTTGTCTTTACATTTCTGAATTGTAAAGGTTGTCATGGCAACTATCTAGAAAATTTAGTCTGTACAATTTAACACAATGTCATCCTATGCATTTTATACCACAGCGGATGGGGGAGTGGAGTGATTTTAAGCTATACCATATATTAGTGTATACACATACACATGCTATAAAATGAATGAAACAATAATCATATGACCTTGATATTGTAGCCACTAGCCTCCTCCCTTTCCATTCACTATAAAATCTCTATGCTCTCTGGCTATATTTCCTCACCACTTACTCATTCTTTAACTTCTTTCTACTCTGGGGGCCATCTCCAGTCATCCTGAACTATACCTTGCCTCTTGGCCCAGATGGCTCTGGAGGAGAAAGCGAGGCTGGTGCCTTTGCACAGCCCTGCCTCACTTAAATCCGATTCACTTGCAAGTCATGGCATAACCTTCCTGAGGTCATGGTCCTCTTTGAGAACAAAGGACAAACAGCAACAGCAGCAATCCTTTCATTCTACTTAAAATACGCTCTGAAATGGCAGGAATGAGCAAGTCGGAATTATCAAAGCTGGTGGCTTTTTTTCTCAGCTGTGGCATGCGATCCTCTCAAATACCTCCAAATCTACAAAAAGCTCTTTGTTTTCTCCAGCACTGAACTACCCAATTTCTTTTCCTCAATTCTGAT